CAGTAAATAATTAAAAATACAGTGAAACAAATAATTTATTAATAATTTCTAAAAAACTAATTAATAAAAATTAATAAAAATTAATTTATAATTTATAATTAATTATAATTAATAATAAATAAAAATTTTAACCTAATTTCTTTGGAAAAATTGAAATTGAAATGAAAAATGATATACAGATAAATTACAAGTATACTTTTTGAACATGTTAATCATTTATCTTAAAGTCGACACCTTTATAACAACCCCGTGTCAAATTATATGAAAATCCAGTAGTCATAAATGTTAATTCCATATATTCATATATATATATCTATATTTATCCGATAACTGTATTATTCTCATTGTCAGATGAAATAGATTTAAACCAATCATCTGCGTAATCAATCTTCGAGAAAGAAAACTAGTTTTTCGTGTTGGGCAAATAATCGAAAGCAAATATAATATAATCTTGATGCACGAATGGTATTCAATACTACTGTTAATGGACTTAAGAGTGAGACTGATGGTGACTACTGCTTGGCATTTAAATTTTTTAGTTTACAACAAATAAAAAAAAATTGAAAATAAATAAATAACAAACTGTTACTTCATTCTTTTCTTTATTCACTAGGCGTGATTTTATTAGGTTCTTTTTTTTCATCATTCTGCGACAGGTGCCGCAGAACATTACTATACATTGAAAAAAAAAGTAAATAAATAAATTAAAAAACTAATAAGGAACAATAGGCAGAAGTAAAGAACAATAGGAACAGTACGAAAAGAAAAAAACAAAAGGAAAAAAAGTAAATGACAATAATAATGATAATTCAATATTTTTGGAAGCCATAAAATTATATAAATAAAAATAATAATAATAAAAATGATGTATTATAATTATAATAACATAAAATATATTATACCTTCGAAGATCAATGAAAAGTGATCAGAAAATTTTTCCAAATCTCGATGGTCCTGACCATGTCCTTGTGCATTCTGTGCATTACAGGAGAGAGAGAGAGAGACTTACACGTGAGAGTGAGCAATGGGCGCAAAGATACTTTCTCGTTGGCACGCTGTCCTTCGTCCATATAGCGATTCCTCGTCGACAGTTCAGGGCTGGTGAGCTGCGATTCTCTCGAAACCCGCCCACACACTTTGATATGCCCCTTTTTTTTAATAATCGGCTAGAAAAACCATGTACTTATCAAAAATGATTATGTATAAAAAAAAGAAGAAGAAGAAGAAGAAAAAAATAATTGTTTATAAAGTGGGGCAAATTAAACAGAAATCTACGATTTTTGCACATTATTCGTTTCTTTTATATACATACGTATATGTATGCATTTGTACAACAACTGATACAATGAATCACATACAAAGGTGAAAAGGTTCTTGTGTCATTAATCCTTTACGCGTCTATTTTAATTGCTGACAATTGATTTCTGCTTTGGAATTTCATTGCCATTTATGTATCCGTGATTATATTCATTCGGGTAATCTGATTTCAAAATTTTTCAAATATCCCCCAATGACCTCGTGAATAATTGCATTTCAATTTGTTTCTATAAGTTAATAAATGGTTTCTATTAAAAATAATTTCCATTTGTATTTATTATTTCTATTACAACTATTTTTCTATCCAATTCTTCTTATTTTATTTATAGTTTTGCTCGAGTTTACCAAATAAATTATTAAAGCAGCTAAATATAATAAAACAATCGATTACTGCTCTATTATCAAATAAATATTTTCTGAAATCAAATAAATTTTTTTTCAATTTTATTGTTATCTTTATTATTAATATTACTTTTAACACTTAAATATATTTTCAAGATTTTATGAAAATTGGAAATTTTTTTTTAAAATTTAATTAATTAATGTTTACACTGAATGGGTGGTTTAATTTATTCCAATAATAAGTAAAACAAAATGTATAAATAAGTCTTGTTATAGAGCTTGCGATGAGTGTAATTATTATGCAAATTACTTCGATTAAATTACGGGTTGAATGAAGAAAAAAATGCGAAGGTGAGAAACGTGAATTTATGGGAAAAAATTCTAAATCTATTCATCTTTTTATGTCATCGCTTATAAATACAAAATTTTTTTATCTTCTTCATTTCAAAGAAAATTTCTTTTGTTCAATAGGGCAAAAATTAAAGAATAATTCTAAAAGAAAGATCCAAAGGGAATGAGAAGGGGAAGAGACGATGAATAAAGGAATTATAATAACTAAATGAAGAAAAACCATCAGAAAGAGCAAAATAAACAATATAAAAAGAAGAGAAGACAATACGAACAAGAGAAAAATAAGAAAGGTACAAGAATATGACAAAAGGAATAAGAAGAACAAAAGAAACAAAAAAAAATAACTGCGATAGGAATAAGAAAAATAGGAAGGACAATAAGAATAAGAAAAAGAAAAAAAAAAGATATAAAAAAAGAGAAAAAAAACAAGAAGAGTTAATGAAATAAAAAAAAGAAAGAAGGACAATATAAGCAAGAAAAAGAAACAAGATAAATAAAAAATCAAGAAAGGAGGACTATGGAAATATTAAAGTGAATAAAAGTATAAGAAAGAAAAAATTAACGAAAAAGAAAGAAAAATACAATTGGAACAAGAAGAGGAAAAGGGAAAAAATTAAAAAAAACGTTAGGAACAAGGAAAACCAAACAAAAAGCAAAATACATGGAAAAAGTGGGTCAAGAAGAATAAAGAAAAAAGGGGAAGGAAGAAAACAACGAAACCAACAAAAAACAGAAAAAAAAGAAACGAACATAACAAAAGGAAAAGAAGAAGAATTGTAGGAACAATAAGAAAAAATAAAGAAAGAAGAACAATAGAAACAAGAAAAAAAGGAACAAGAAGAACAATAGAAACAAGAAAAAAGGAACAAGAAGAACAATAGAAACAAGAAAAAAGGAACAAGAAGAACAATAGAAACAAGAAAAAAAGGAACAAGAAGAACAATAAAAAGAAGAAGAAAAGGAACAAGAAGAACAAAAGAAACAAGAAAGAAAAAAGGCATAGGAAACAAAAAAGAAATAATGACAATAGGAACCAGCAAAAGAAGAATTAGAAGAACAAAAAAATAAAGAAGGACAATATGAACAAAAAAGGAACAAGATAAATAAAAGATACAAAAAAAATGAGAACAACATCAAGAAAAATAAAAAGCATAAAACAAGAAGACACTAACAAACAAGAATCAAAATAGAAAAGGGAGGATTATGAGAACAAGAAGAAACAGCAAAATAAAATAAGAAGCAAACAAAAAAGAAGAACAGTTCAAAAGAAGAAGAACAAATGTACAAAGAAAAAGGAACAACAGTCAAATAAAATGAGAATAATATTTCAAAAAAGGAAGAACAATAGTCAAATAAAAAAAGCAGTACAAAATAGAACAACAATACAAAATAAGAAAGAAAAAAAAGGATAAAAAAAATAATAGTACAAAACAAGTAGAATATCACAAAAAAGAAGAAGAAAAGTACAAATAAAAGAAAACAACAGTAAAATAAAAGAAGAACAGTACAAAAAAGAACAACAATACAAAATAAGAAAAAAAGTACAAAAAAGAAAGAATAGTACAAAAAAAGAAGAATATCACAAAAAAAGAACAACAGTAAAATAAAAGACGAACAGTGCAAAAAAACAACAACAATACAAAAAAAATAACAATACAAAAATAGAAGAGCTGTACAAAAAAGAACAACAATACAAAATAAGAAGAATAGTACAAAAAAGAAAGAATGGTACAAAAAAACAACAGTACAAAAAAAAGAACAATACAAAAATATAAGAGCAGTACAAAAAAGAACAACAATACAAAATAAAAAGAATTGTACAAAAAAAAGAAAAAATAGTACAAAAAAAGAAGAAGAAAAGTACAAATAAAAGAGAACAACAGTAAAATAAAAGAAGAACAGTACAAAAAAGAACAACAAAACAAAATAAGAAGAATAGTACAAAAAAGAACAACAATATAAAATAAGAATAAAAGTACAAAAAAAGAAGAAGAAAAGTACAAATAAAAGAGAACAGTACAAAAAAGAACAACAATATAAAATAAGAATAAAAGTACAAAAAAGAAAGAATAGTACAAAAAAAGAAGAATATCACAAAAAAAGAAGAACAACAATTAAGTAAAAGATGAACAGTGCAAAAAAACAACAACAATACAAAAAAAATAACAATACAAAAATAGAAGAGCTGTACAAAAAAGAACAACAATACAAAATAAGAAGAATAGTACAAAAAAGAAAGAATGGTACAAAAAAATAACAGTACAAAAAAAGAACAAAACAAAAATATATGAGCAGTACAAAAAAGAACATCAATACAAAATAAGAAGAATAGTACAAAAAAGAAAGAATAGTACAAAAAACAACAGTACAAAAAAAAGAACAATACAAAAATATAAGAGCAGTACAAAAAAGAACAACAATACAAAATAAAAAGAATAGTTCAAAAAAGAAAAAATAGTACAAAAAAAGAAGAAGAAAAGTACAAATAAAAGAGAACAACAGTAAAATAAAAGAAGAACAGTACAAAAAAGAACAATAATACAAAATAAGAAGAATAGTACAAAAAAGAAAGAATAATACAAAAAAAGAAGAACAGTACAAAAAAACAACAGTTAAAAATAAGGAGAACAGTACAAAAAAAGATGGAACAAACACAACAAAGTTGCAAAAAACCAAAAAATTTCCCTCCTGTCAAAAATCACCATACACTCTGAAATGGATATTCTCCTCGAGGGTCAATGGATCCTGTGCTGCAGGAGATGTTGACGAAATGTCAAGGTCACGAGGCCATCGAGACAAGAGTTACACAGAACGCTTGTCTATATGTTATATTATAGAAGAATACCTCTTACACTTTATAATTCAATGGGGAAAACATTGGTGCACAATGTGTATAAGGTTTGCCCCAATCGACAATCTGGCTCCCCCCAGATTCACCAACTAGAGGGTGTGGCGGGGGTTACCTTATAAATGGTACTGTCTCCATTCTCCAGAAACACAAACGGAACCACCGGTCGGTCGGAGCGGAACGGGAATATTTAAATTAATAAAAAAAAAAAATTAAAATTAAAAAAAATTAATAAAAAGAAAAGGAGTGGAGGGACAATTATAAAAAAAAAAATAGTTGATCACAGAAAACAAAAGGAGGAAATTATTTATTCGCCATGTTTGCTCTGGTAAGTTTCTAGCATTCTTCTTGAATGTACACATATAAATATAAACATAAGTGGAGGGTGAAAAATTCAAGTACCGTATATTCTCATAGTCGATCTTTGAGAACAAAGGAAAGTGAGAGGTTATAGGTGCAATGGGTCACGTGGTTGACCCCTCAGAATTATACAAATAATACTATGCATTCTTTATCTCGTTAAAGATCTTTTTTTAAAATAAATTTTACCTCTTGTTTTATTCAATTACTTTCATCAATTTCGGTTTAATGCAATTTAATACTCTACAATTCATTTTTTTAAAATTTGACTTAATTAATAAATAATTAATAATTAAATTAAAAAAACAAATAAATTATTTTTTTATTTATTGTTAATTTACTAATAAAATTATTATTTTTAATATTTTCTTATCTAATTTATTTATTATTTTTTAAGTGTTATATTTTTATCATTATTTAATACGTTAATAATAAAAAATAACTAATAACAATAATCATAATAGTAATAATATAAAAATAATAATAATATTTTTTTGCCCGTGTTACATAAGTAAATAATTAAATAACAGTAATAATAACAACAATACAATAAAATAATAATTAAAATAATAATTTTTTTATTATTAATTTCTTATTTTTAATTTTCTCTTTAATTTTAAATAAATTTTTCATTAATATTTACGAATAAAAATTATCACAAGTCCAAAAAGAAATTATCAATAACAAAAAATTATAAATAATATTAAAAGTTAAAAATTTTAATTTTATTCTAATTTTATGAAAGTTGATCATTTTAAATTGAAATTTTGTCACAGTGAAAAAGTGAAAATTGAAAAATTTGATCTATTGAATAATTTTATCTTTTTACGAGAAAATTTTTAATACACACACACAAAAAAATGAAAGTATTCCGTCACTAATGAATTCTTATGCAATCCGTTAGTTTATCTAATTATTTTCTTTTCCTCCAGCGAGACGTTATACATTAATTAATTTTAAATTATTATTTTTTTTGCATTTAATTTTATTATTTAAGAATGCGAAAATTTTTTAAAAATCTAAAGGACAATATATAATTTTGTTGATTAATAGAAATTTTTTTTATATAAATTTTTTCTCTTCGTTTATATTGTTTTATTTTTATTAATCAAATTATTGAAAAAAATTTCTGTTCTTTAATTAAAATTTTTTAATTATTAAAAAATAATTTAATTATTTGTAACAATTTTTGTTATATTACAAAATAGTAATTTATTAATTATCAAGTAATAAAAAATTGTTAATAATTAATCAAGAATGAATTTCTATTATTATTCTAGTAATTAATAATGAATTAAGAATTAATTGTTAAAAATTAATAACTGAATATATTAAAAAGCATAAAAATTTCACTATTTCAATAAATTACGAAAGAAAAGAAAAGCTACGATAAAATCAATATTAGACTTGAAATGTACATTATTGATGAAGTAAATTATATATTTTAAAAATTTTTTTTTTAAACTATAACGGTTAATTTTATGAAAAAATTTTTTTTAATTTTTTTCTTTTTTTGCACCATCATCAAAATATAAATAAAAATATACAATTGTATTTGAATTCGAAACTATAGACAATTACCATAGCTAAAGAAGTCACGCAATATCGTCATGGTTTCACAGTCCTTAAATATGAAAGTACACCTCCAAATCAAAGACTTGTCAGAACATTATGACGTAACAATTAATTTATATGCAATAAAAGGTCGCATAAATCCGTAATCATATAAATAACAGGCAAAAAGTAGTAAATTTTTTTTTTACTTTTTTTCAAAAAATTGATTTTTCAATTGTTCCATTTAATTTATGACTGTAAAACACGTTTTTCATTTACGTAACAAAAAAAAAATTTCAAATGTTTACTTTCCACGAATTATGTGAAACTGTGTGTATACAATTATTAACTTTTTTATTATTTAATTTACTTTTATTTTATTATTATTTGTGTTCTATTTTTTCAAAATTATTTTCTAGGGAATTAAATTTTTCGAAATTTTTATTTTTAGAATCTAAACGATTCCTTTAAATTATATTAAATTAATTATTATTATTTATTACTCAATAATTAACATTAATATAATTCTTTTGAATTTTCTAATTTGAATTTTCTATCTACAAAAATGTTTTCCTCTTTACTTCACTTTTATACTTTTTGTTTGTACATTTTTTCTTTCCGAATAATTCTCAATTTTTATAAAATTTTTTTCTACTTCTGTTTTCATTCTTTGTCCGATAAAAAAATTTTAAACTTAATAAGTAAATAATTTAGTACGAAAAATTTATTTTTATTTAATAAATAATTTAATAACAAAAAAAAATCTTTACACAAAAATAAATAGGAAAACCTAAAAGCCTAAAGAACAAATAAATTATTGCCAAATATTTCATTATTGAACAAAAAATAATTAATAAAAATGATTAGTAATTCACTAATAATTTATTACATGATATTACCAATTAGATATTAATAATTTATTTGTCAATTAATAATCAATTTGTTAATTAACAATCAATTAGTCAATTACTAATTACGGTATTAATTAAAAATTAATTTATCAATTAGTAATTAATAATAAAATGTTGAAAATAATCTCACGCCAATTAATGACAATTGCAGATAATATCGTGCGCAATTATCGCGGCCAGTCAGGCGGAATATCTCGGCTATGGAAATCAGGGCCCCGTTCAGCAGCAGTTCGCGCCCCCTGCACCGGTGGGTCACGACGGCAATGTAATTGACACGCCGGAAGTGGCGCAAGCAAAGGCAGCGCATTTCGCCGAATTTGCTCGGGCCGCGGCACGAGCGGCCGAAGAGAAGGCGCAAGAGGGCTACGCGCATGCGCCCGAGAGTCGTGCTCAATATGCACAATACGCGCACCAATCAGCGCAGCCAACGTATGCGCGTCAAGCCTATCCCTCCCAGCCCGTCTACCACGCGGCCAATCCCGTAGCAGCACCTGCAGCCGCCTACCCCCAACAATATGACTCGCGCGCCAATTACGTTGCCTCAGCGCCAAGAAACTATGCTCCTGCAGCGCCTAAAATTCAATTTGCACCGGCGCCACTCGCCGAAGACGGTACCGTCATCGACACACCGGAAGTTGCCGCCTTAAAGGCCGCGAGACTCCAGGAACTCGCTGAAGCTGAGGCGCGCGCTTACAAATACAATGGGCCCGATGAGTACTCCGACGATGGACAGGGTGAGAACTATTTTTTGAAAAATTGATTTATTTTTGATATTCCTGAAAGTGTTGCTCAATATTCCCTGAAGTATTTTTTAGTATTCTTTAAAGTATTATTTGTGGAACCTTTGAAAGACATTAAATTAAAAGTTATTATTGAACGTATTTTATAAAACATTGTTAGAATATTCCACTGGATATTCCATGAAAAAAATTTCTCAATATTCCTAAAAGTATTCCACGATTTTTTAAACATTTCTTAAAGTATTCCTTTCTGGTTAATAAAACATTTTTAAGTATTATTTAATATTTCTTAACGTATTTTTCGATATTCCTTAAAGTACTTATTAATATTCTTCAAAGTATTCCTCGACATTCCATAAACTATTTTTTAATATTCTTTAAAGTATTCATAAATATTCCTTAAAGTATTCATAAATACTCCTTAAAGTTTTCCTAAATAATATTCTTCAAAGTATTCTTCGACATTCCTTAAATTATTTTTCAATATTCTTTAAAGTATTCATCGATATTCCTTAAAGTTTAACATTACTGACAAATATTTTTTTGATATTACTGACGAATATTCTTGACATTAATTAAATAAATTTGTAACATGACTGATAAATATTTTTTAATGTTTCAAAAAGTATTATTTTTTCTTGTCTAAGGGAATACTTTTTTAATATTAAAATGAAAATTTTCCCTGGTTTTCGAAAAATAATTTAAAGGAATATTTTGTCTTTAATGAATAAAATAATTTTCCTATATAAAAAATATTTCTTAAATATTACAATTTACAACAATATTCAAAAAGAATATTTTTTCGATATTTCATAAGAATAGTTTTTTAATGTTCTAAATATTATTTGCACCGCATTTTAATGTAATATTCCTGCAATATTGTTAAAAAAAATTAATTTCAATATTAAAGAAATATTTTTAATACTAAGAAAATATTCCATTGGAATATTAGTAATATTAAAATTGAGACCAAAATTTTTCGAAGGTACATTTCCCCTCATTTCCAAAATTTTTAAATATTTTTTCAAAATGAAGAAATATTAAAAAAAAAAATTTTCTGCAATATAAAAAAAATATTCCCAATGAATATTCGAGTAAAGTATTTCCAAAATATTTAATTTGATAAAATTACTTAACTTTTTGATTGATTTTACCAATATTTCATTGGAATTTCTTTATCTCCTTATTTCCTTCTCTAATTATCTCTTCATTTTGTTGAAATATTTCAAAAATATTCCAAGAATTCTGAAAAGTATTCCAAAAGATATTCCAAGAATTGTTAAAAAAAACACTCCAAAAAATATTCAAAAAATTCTAATTCGAAAAATTGGAATATTTTTTTAATTCTATTGAACAATTTCAAAAATTAGAAGAATAAGTATTCTTAAAAGTATTCCAAAAAAATATATTTCAAGAAATCTAAGAAATTTTCCAAATATTTTCAGAATTCTAAAAAATACTTTTAAAATTCGTAATCGGAAAAATTTTAAAACTTGGAATATTAACTTTATTGTATTAAAATATTTTAAAAACTGAAAAATATTCCAAATATTCTTTAAAATATTCCAAGAATTCTAAGAAATATCTACTCGAAAAAATATTCCAAAGAAAAAATTCGAAATATTGGATAATTCTCTTTATTCTATTGGAATATTTCAAAAACTCGAAAATATTCCAAGAATTCTAAAAAATACTCCTGAAATTCAAAATCGGAAAAATTTTGAAAACTTTAAATATTATTAACTTTATTTTATTAGAATATTTCAAAAACTCAAAAATATTCCAAAAATTATTTTTAATATTCCTAGAATTCTAAAAAATACTCCAAGAAATATTCCAAAAATTCGAAATTGAACAAAATTCGAAAAATTAAAAATAATTGAAATCACTATCAAAAATAAACTATAAAAATATTTCAATTTTTTTTCGTCTACTGATAAAAATAAAAATTATGAAGCAATGTCAGTGAAATCATTAGATAAATCATAATTTCAAGTTCACGCGAGTGTTATAAATGATCGAACATAAGCACGTGTGGAGAACCGGTTTCTTTCTTTATATACAAGACATATATTTAGTTTAAAATAGCGTTGTTCAACGTACGAGATAGAAAAAAAAGTTGAAGAAAAAAACGAAGAATATTTTCATCCGGGGAGAAGGTGGTTCTTGACCTTACTTACTTATTTTCTCTCAAGAAGTGAGAAATATATAAACGATAACGATAGAAATCTCTCGTAATTACTATGCAACCAGGCCAATGATCAATGTAATGTTTATATCGAATAATTTTTTATTTATAAACCTATCGTTTTATTTCATTCAAAGGCCGGTAAAAGATTGTAAACTATTTATTTATTATTTTTTTGTGCGTGTGCAATTATATGCGTATAGAGAAAAATTATAAATTCAAGTGCAAAATTAATTTTTTTTCTTTCTCGTCATTAATTATATCTTCTGGTCATTATCAATTATTTTGCAATATTTTTTATCGATATTTATATAAATGAATTTATTATTTTTTTTATTTTCACGAAAATTAATAAATTTCATTCATAAATTAAATGTAAATAAATAAAATTGATTAACTAATTATTAGCAATTCAATTCATAATTTAATTAATTAAATAATTATTCAGTGAAAATGAAAAATTATTAGAACAAATAATTATTTGCTTTGAATAAATAATTGTTTATTTGTATAAAATATTTATTTAGTCAGAGTAAACAATTATTTAGTTAGAGTAAATATATTTATTTAGTTAGAGTAAACAATAATTCACTCGACACAAATAATTATTTGATTAAATTATTTAAATAATTAATTAACCAAATTGAAAAATAAAAAAAAATGGAAATAATTTTTGAGTCAAGAAAAATTGCTTTTTTACTTTTGAGTTAAAGAAAAAGCAATTTTCTTCTCTAGTGAATAATGAAAATATTTTTTGTATTTTATAGCTTACAATGGACAAAAAGGTGTTTCGAGTCCATTGAATTATGGAGCAGCTTCACCGTACGCAGCATCCGCCCCAGGTCATTTTGGTGCTTCCGGTCCAGTTCCCCGTGTTTATCCGGGACCAACAGCTTATCAGGGTTTCGCAGCCGCACCTTTCGGAAAATCCTTCCAACCATCAGCCTTTCAGCCTCAAAGTTTTCAATCCCAACAACAACACGCTTACTAGGAGTTTGATCTCTCTTAAAAAAAAAAGAAAAGAAAACAAATCTCCGTGAATAAACCCTGTACATAATTTAGGCCAATAAATTCTTTTTTTACAAATCAAAAAAACTCTTCCTTTTCCACTAATAATGAACTACAGTTGATTTTTCATTACACAAAATTTCTATAACTAGAATTAATAATAAAAATTATTATTATTATTATTTATTATTAATAATTTAAAAATTAAATTATTATTATTGATAATAATAATAATAATAATAATAATAATAATAATAATAATAATAATAATAATAATCGTAATAGACAATATTTTTTTAATTAACAATATAATTATTAATAATAATAATCGTAGTAGACAATATTTTTTTAAATAACAATATATTATTATTAATACTTATAATTATTATTTTTTTAATTTGTTTATATTTATTACTTTTGGGTTATCAAAAATTGACTGTATTTTCTGTGAATAATTGTGGTGTTTTAATTTATTTTATCCTGTAAATATAACTCCTTATGAATAATAAAATCTAGTAATGACAAGAAATAATAATTATTATTGCAATTATATTTTTTATTTCAATAAAAATAATTAATAATAGTAATTATTATAATTATTATAACTACACACAATAGTTAGTATCAACTTATGACGGGTGTAGGTATAAACAAATAAATATGAAAAAATTTATTATAATTGTAATTATTTTATTATTAATAATATGATTGTTAATAATAAAATAATACTTAATTATAATTATTATTGTAATTATAGAAAATTAAAAAACAAAAATAGAGGTGAATATTGATAATAAAAAAAATGTATTCAATACATTTATTTTAATTAGAAAAATAATTAAAAATAATAGCCAAATAATAAAATGATGACATTCAAAAATAGAAGTAATGATAAAAATAATAAAAAATAATTTTAAAAAATTTTATTCACAATAATTAGAAAATTTTATTTAGAATATTGGAATATTAATAATTAATAGTATTAAAAATTAATATTTGTAAAATATTGAAAGAATTAATAAAGAATAATATAAATTAGTAAATAAAATAATAGAAACAAAGAAAAGTACATAAAAAAATATATTCATAATAATTAAAATAATACGTACTTTTTTTTTAATAATAAAATTTGATTTCCTTAATGTATTAAGATTAGATATGAACAGAAAATACTTATCGTGCATTTTTATGATAAGTATAGGATTGATTTTTTTCAGTACAGCTTCAACTTTTGACGGAAAGTTATAATAAACTAACTAAATAAAAATCAATAATTTTTACCGAAAATTGCACATTTTTTCTTCTCGATAAAATTCATCGACATTTTTCTCTACAAGTGAAAATGTAGCATTTGGAAAAAAATTTTGTTGGAAAATAATTGTTGCATCGATACATGAGGTAAGTTTATTATTATTATACAATAACATTTAATTAAATACTTATTTCACTGAATAATAAAAAGTCATAAAATTATTTAATTATCAATTAATTAACTAACTAAATAGTACAAACAAAATTAATTACTTCTAGATAATTAATAAAATTAATTACTTTTAGATAATTAATAAAATTAATTACTTTCTTTCAAATAATTAATAAAATTAATTACTTTCTTTCAAATAATTAATAAAAAAATTACAAGCTTTTAAATAATTAATAAATAAAAAGTATATAAAATACAAAAAATTATTGAGAAATGATGGAAAAAGTATTGATTATGATCCAAAATGATTAATTAATTAATAAACAGTTTATTTATTAATCAATAAACAATTAATAAATTGATGAACAATTTATAAATCAATTAATAAACAATTAATAAATTGATGAACAATTTATAAATTAATTAATAAACAATTAATAAATTAATTAATTTTAAAGAATAAATTACTTTTTTTATAATTTAATTAACATGCAAAATTAAAATTGTAAGAAATCGATAAAATACGATAAATGAAAAAGTTGTTCAAAAAAAATTCTTTTGGAGATAAAAGAGATTACAATTATTATTAATTAAGAACAACGTTACATTGTTGAGGACTAATTTAATTATTTGTCAATATTGATTGAATTTTATCGCAATGAAAAGAAACCTGAAAATTGAATAGGTACTTAAAATCAATTTAAAAATTGTATTTTTAATGCTTATTAATGTCTACAAAAGAAAAGTTACAGATAAAAGAATAAAATTTGTCGCGACGAATTGAAATAAATTTTTATCAAATCTTAAATTATTTTCTCAACTTTAACCCTAAAAAAACGAACAATGTAAATAAAAACAACGATATATTATTCAGAAAAGTCTTTAATTAAATCAACACAATAAATTTTTAACAGAACAAATTTTATTCAAAAATTTTATTACGTTTTCAAACTTTAGAATTTTTTAGAATTTTTTCATTTCATTTTTTAAATATATTTTATGCATAAAACAGTTCAGTTAATTAACTTTATTGTTTTTATTAATTTTGTTAGTTGTTAATTTTATTAGATATTAATTTTATTAGTTGTTAATTTTATTAGATATTAATTTTGTTAGTTGTTAATTTTATTAGATATTAATTTTGTTAGTTGTTAATTTTATTTGATATTAATTTTATTAGTTATTAGTTTTATTAATATTAATATTATTATTAACCTTAATTGTGTTACTTATTAATTTTATTAATTTATTTAAAAAATTGAGTATTAATATAATTTAGAGGATAACAACAAAATGGACAAAAAATTGTGTACTTGATATTTTTTATAGTTGACAATTTTATAAACAAAGGACAAAAATGGGAATAATAAATTACTGTTCAAGTGAAACGGAGGTTGAAAATGATAATTGTAGTAAAAATGGTGAACAAAAACAATTCAAGAGTTATTATTGGACGCAATTAATTTCCGGACTGAGCAGTAAGTATTTTAATTAAACAATTAATTATTAATTTAAATAATACGAAAAATTTGTAGATTTTTATTTTCATAAAACTTAATTAAAGTCAAAGCTCACTATAAGGAATAATATTAACAAAATTTTCAAGGAATATCAATGAATAAAAGGAATATCAACTATATTTATCTTATTAAAAAAATAATAATATTCCTTTTAAAAAAATTTTTAAAAAAATCCAAATTTGTTTTACCTGTAAATTGTAAATTAATACCCAAAGAAAATAATATCAGTAAATATTGTATGTTACTCATTTTTTTTTCAGTCTACTTCCTCTGCATCAATCACGGTGTGAATTCCGCCTGGACATCACCAGCTCTTCCCTATCTTTCAAATAGAACCGACGACACTCCAATAACCAACGAACAAGGAGCATGGATCGCATCAATTCCCTCATTTGGTATAATGTTTGGCACACTAATTTGTCCACCAATTCTGGATCAACTTGGTCGAAAGCAAACAACATTCATCTCAATAATTCCCGCACTCGCCTCATGGCTAATGATAATATTCACCAAAAATTACATCGTCCTCTATATTGCACGATTCATCAATGGCGTTGGCTCAGGCATAACATATTCAGCGGCAACACTTTATTTCGCCGAAATAGCAACAAAAAATATCCGCGGAATAATGATAACAACAATTAATGTCTGCAGTAATTTTGGTACCCTTCTAATAGTCACAATTGGCGCATTCCTCAATTATCAAACAATGAATATTGCCATGACATTTCTACCACTTTTTGCATTAATAACAATTCCATTAATGCTCGAGACACCATATTTTCTATTGATGATGGAAAAAGATAAGAGTGCATTGACGATATTATTGAAATTACGTGGCGCTAATGATAATTCAAATGAGGAGGTGCATTTGGAATTGGAGAGAATGAAATTATCAGTTGATGAGAGTAGAACAATTGTAAAATCATCGTTTAGGGAATTATTTGATATTGGTAATCGAAGGGGTTTAGTGATTTTATTATTTTCAACAGCAGCAATGTATCTATCGGGAATTGCTGTATTTGAAGCATATGCTGAGGAAATTTTTACCTACAGTCATTTTCCATTGAAAGCAAAATATTCAACGATTGTATTAGGTTGGGTGAGAATTGTCGCTGGTTTATTGTCAACATTATTCATTGATCGTGGACGTAAATTGATGTTTTTAATTTCGGGCACATTGTCATCGTTTGCACTCACTTCGGTGGGATTTTTTTATTTTATTGATTCAAAAACTGATTTTGATACAACATCATTGACGTGGATACCATTAATTGGACTTGTTTTGTATTTAATTTTTGCCAATCTTGGATTGGTGACGATACCATCGATATTTATGGGTGAATTATTTACAATTAAGGTGAAAGGTAAAGCTGTTGCTATTGGTATTATTTTCTCGGCATTCTTTATGTTTATATCGAAATTTTGGTTTCAAAAATTAAAAACAGACTTTGGTATTCATGTGCCATTTGGTATTTTTGCGGTATGTTGTCTTTTCTTTACGTTTATTGTATTTTGGATAACGCCCGAGACGTCGGGTAAAAATCTTGAGGAGGTGCAACATATTCTGAAGCAAGCGGCACAAAAGAAGAAGAAGAAGAAAAAAGTGATTTTGGAAAATTGGGAACTCGCCAGTACATCCAAGTAGAATTAGTTCTTTTAAATTTTGACAAAATTTTAAAACACTATTGATTCTGAATAAAGGAAAAAATTGGTTTCAAATTATACAGCACGTATTTTGGACAGAACAAAGAATTTTATTATAATGTACATAAAATAATAATTTGTTGAAATAATTAATTGGAAAAGATTAAAATTAATAATTGAATTTGTGTTTACATAAAAATTTTAGTTTCGGCGTCAGACGACTGGAGGGGGTTTCTAAGAAGTTCGTTCCGTTCGGGCAGCTTCGGCTCTCTCCGCGTCTAATCGTGTCACTGCCGGCTCTATAATATTCCGTACCCGCGCCAGCAACAACATTTTTTTCCTAATTAATTTCTCCCTCGTTAAGATTACAAATCGATTTCGAAACAACTTTTCCTGCACTATAATTACAACAATTAAAAATAATAATAAAATTCCCAATTTAACGGAGCTTAAACATTTCGAGAACCTCCTCTAAATTTTTTCCCCTCGTCTCCGGAGCAATTACAAAAACAATAATCGTTCCCAAAAGACAAGTGCTCGCATAAATCCAAAAACTGACAAACATTCCCAACCACTCGTTCACCAATGGTAAAATCATTCTCGCCACAAATGTAAAGAGGCATTCAATGATTAAGGACACCATCGTCGCGACACCTTTCACCCGAATTGAGAACAATTCCCCCATGTATAAATAGGGAATTGTCGTCAATCCCATATTACAAAAGAAGGTGAACATAATCAGAACTAAAAGTGGAATCCAAGTGACTGATGATAGATCCACAAAGGTCTTTAGATAGAAGAATATTCCCAAAATAATGAGAGTTAATGAGGAGAATACACCAGAAAGGAGAAAAGTTGGTCTTCGTCCCCAGATGTCGACAAGTCTCGACGATGGTAAACCGGCGAATATTTGTATTCCAGTCATGATCATAACGCAATATTCCGGCTTTAATGGTGTTCCACTGCTGGCGAATAAATCCTGAGCGTACGCCTGAATTGCTAAATAACCCGAAAATGCGTAAGTGGCCGAAGTCATTAATTTAATAACAAGCGCCTTACGATTCACGGTATCTAGAAATAAATCCGCCAAACTACTCCTCGTCGATCTCTCCTCATCGTCAATTGAATTTCTCATTCTCTCAATATCGGGCATCACCTCCTCAATTTTCCCAGCGCGGGTCAATTTCATTTTCATTGCAATCGCCTCTTTGTCACGTTTCTTCAAAAGATAGTAATAAGGCGTCTCGAGTGTCAAAGGAAAAATGCAAATTCCAATCAGGGGAATGAGAAGTATCACTAGATTCATGTTTCTATAGGAAAAAAATGCCCCGGCACATGTCATGAGAAATGCGCCGATATTCACGCACATTTTGTCGAAAGTAAGAAAACTTCCTCTCACATTCTCGTGGACTATTTCGCCAATGTACAGGGGAAGAAGACCGTAAATACCGGCGGAGCCAATGCCAAAAATCGTTCGCCCTGCGAGTAGGAAGGGAAAATTATTTGCTAATTGAATGATGATCATGGATAGAAGAAGTAAAATGCCGTACGTAAGGAGTGTGTATTTACGTCCGATATGATTGGACAGCAGGGGAAGGAGCAAGTAGCCAATTATTCCCGATAGTGAAACAATGGAAACTAACCATGCTCCCTCTGTGACTGTCAGACGGAATTCGGAATCTTCGCTGGTGAGATATGGAAGTGCTGGTGATGACCACGTTGAACTTGTTCCATCAGCTATCATTAGAATGTAACCTGAAACAAATGGAAAGCAAAAGAATTTTATTAATTACCTTGCCCATAAGTTGTCAGACGGTTAAATAAAATTAGATTTTATTGTATTTTGGCAGCTTTTCTCCAGATTATAATTTTATTTCCCCAAAGCTGAAAAAGAGTATGTACAGCCCTGAAAATATTTGCTGCCCAGTCGGAGAGGCGGGGCTTATAACTCGTCAGTAGTAGAAGTTGTAGGAGGGGCTAAAATCTGGAGATTCGTCAGAAATCGAGGGTTGCCTGTATCTATGGATAATTTATTATATTTACCCTCGGGAAATATTTCAAAAGAATAACATAAGATTGTTAAACAAATAAAAAATTCTGTTAATAGATTGAATATATATAAACATATAAATAAATATAAAATTATGTAAACAAATATAAATATATAAAGAAATACATAAACTTTTATTTTCATCAACAAAAAGAACTATTATTTCATCTTACCACTAAGAACACTAACAAATTGTTGAAAATAAACTCTTCCTTGATTCTTGGAACTCATTTTTTACTACTCATTTGACAATTCATTTACTTCATTATTTGTTAATTATTTATTAATTATATAATTAACTATTATGATATTTTTTAAAATTATTATTCTTTTCTGTATTTGCTTGTGTGTACAATTAAATTGAGGATGCAAAAATTTTATGAAATGAAATTTCTTTCCTTCTTTATCGAAAAAGAAGTGATATTTGTTCACTGATAAATTTTTTTATCGCATTATTGCATTAAAAGTGTAATTATCGTGCTTAAAAAAATATTTTAGTTCATAAAATTTAATACTTGTTTGAAAAATTAAAATAAAAAATTTTCCTTGCAATATTTTTTGACAAAAGTTGAGGCAAAAGCAGAATTATAATTATAAGAATTTTAATTGAAAAAATATATAATTATAATTAAAATTATAAGTAACAATTCAAACAATTTTCTTTAAAGAATAATTTTGAACAATAAATAAATAAATAATTTTTTAATTATTTATTTAAAATTTATGAAGTACCTAAGCAATTAACGAATAGAATTTAAAAATGAAAAAGAATATTAAAAATAATTTTTAAAAAATAATGTGTAGGTTAAAAATAATTATAATTACTCTTTTAACTTAAATTTTATGTAAAGGAAATAAACGATTGGAGGGGATAAAGGAACAGCCGATCTCGTTCTCTTCGGGAAGCTTCGACACTTTCCGCCTCTCAGTGCCGGCACATTGACAATGGGTACCCGCACAAATAAATAAATAATTTTTTAATTATTTATTTCAAATTTATGAAGTACCTAAGCAATTAGCAAATAGAATTTAAAAATGAAAAAGAATATTAAAAATAATTTTAAAAAATAATTATAATTATTTTTTTAACTAAAATTTTATGTAAAGGAAATAAGCGATTGGAGGGGATAAAGGAACAGCCGATCTCGTTCCCTTCGGGGAGCTTCGGCACTTTTCGCCTCTAATCGTCTCACTGCCGGCTCTATAATAAGCTGCACCCTCGTAAATAAAAATTTGTTTACCATTTTTAGTTATTTCAATATTGTAAAAAAATATTACACGCTACATCAGTCATATGTTTACAATAAACTAAATTTAAAATACAATTTAAATTTCACTTACAACTAACTTTTTCCACTTTTCCCCATTTTTTGTGCCCTTAATCGCAACAATTCAAGCACTTCTTCTAAATTTTTACCCTTTGTTTCTGGCGCGAGACAAAATACAGTCACCGAACCAATTAAACAAGTAAAGGCAAAAATCCAAAAACTCACATAAATTCCACACCAATGGCTCACGAGTGGAAAAATCATTTTCGACGAATAGAGAAATATCGCCTCCATAATTAGTGAAACCATTGTAGCGACACCTTTCACCTTCACCGAAAATAATTCGCCCATATACAAATAGGGAATAGTGGTCAATCCAATATTACAAGAGAACGTGAACGAAAGCATTCCAATTAGTGGTAACCAACTGACAGATGAAACATCACTGTCAGCATACGATTTCAAATAAAAATACAAACCAACGCTACTCAATGATAATGATGATAAAATACCCGACAATAAAAAAGTCGGTCTCCTACCCCACAAATCGACAATCTGTGACGATGGCAAAGCGGCGAGTATTTGCGCACCAGTCATAATCATCGCGGAAAATTGCGGCGGTATCTTCGAACCCGAATGACTAAAAATATCCTGAGCGTACGCCTGAATTGCCATATAGCCAGAAAACGAATAAGTCGCCGATGTTAATATCTTCAATATCAATGCCCAACGACAACCAGAATCGGCAAATAATTCTCTAATACTACTCTTCTCCGACTCCTTACCCTCATCAATAGACTTTTTCATTCTCTCAATGTCCCTCATCACTAAATCAACATCATCCGTCTCCATAATTTTCATTCGTGTGTCAATAGCCTCCTGATATTTTTCCCTCAATAAATAATAATACGGCGTTTCGGATGTGACGGGAAATATTGCAATTCCCAATAGTGGAATGAATATCATGAGGAGATTCATATTGTCGTATGACAATAGTGCACCGGCTGTTGTCATGAGGAATGCGCCAATGTTCACTGCCATTTTGTCGAATGTGAGAAAACGTCCGCGCAATTTTTCGTGTGCAATTTCGCCAATATAGAGTGTCAGTATACTGTAAACGCCACAATTACCAGTACCCAAAATCATACGACCAATGAGTAGTGTTGTATAGTCATTGGCCGATTTTATGACAATCATTGCGAGGAGTGTGATTAGGCCGAATGTGAGAATGGTGAATTTGCGACCAATTCGATTTGCCAGTGTTCCACATAATAGATAGCCAATTATTCCGGTGGGATTGCCGATTGACACGAGCCATGCACCTTGGGTGATGGTGATTTGGAATTCTGATTCTTTGCTCGTTAGGTAGGGTAATGATGGCGAGGCCCATGTTGTTCCTGTGCCCACTGCTGCCATTAGAAAGTAACCTTTTGGAATGATAAACAATTTTTTTTTATTCAATTTTACCAAAGGGGGGCGATTTTATTTTTTATGAAAAGAAGAAGCTTGTACATCTACTATAACTGTAATAATATTAACTGTAGCAAAACTGTAGGAATAGTAGTATCTGTAGTAGTAGTCGTCGCAGTAGTAACAATATCTCTTTTAATGTTCATTTCTTCTCCAAAATCTTTGTTATCTATTAGTACTTTTTCATCATCATCAGCTTTAACTACAGCAACTACTCTTACTACTGTTGCTACTGCTACTATTAGCAATTAATTAGTTAATACTTAGTAGTAGTAGCAGCAGTAAGAATAGCTTCTATAGTTGGAGATTATGATACAGAAGAAGTACTAGCAGAAAATGTGGATAAGGAAGATTTTGGTAAAGGAATAGACAGTAAAGATGGTACACTAATAATAATTGTAGAATTGTAGTAGATTAAGAAGGTGAAGATACATAAAGATGAGGATGAAAAATAGTAATAGCAGAAGAAAAAGAAGAATTTGGTTAAAAAGAAGCAGTTGTCGTTGTAGCAGTAAATAAAGAGCCAGAAGTAATTGATGAAGATTAACAAAAAATAGAAGTAGAAGTAGTAAAATTAACAGCTGAAGAAGAAGTAGTAGCAGTAATAGCAGTAGTAGCAGCAGAAGATAAAGTATTAATAAAATCAGCAGCTATAGAAGAAAAATAGAAAAAAGATGTAATAGTAGATGGAGTAGTAGCAGTAGTAACAGCAGCAGAAGATAAAACAGAAAGAGATGTAAAAAGAAAAATAGTAGTAGTAAAAGTAGTAGTGGTAGCAGAAGATAAAAAAGAATCAGTTTAGCAAAAATCAGTAGCAGCTGATAAAGAATAAGAAACACATGAAGGCAAGGATTAATAAAAAAATAAGTATCAGTAAAAAAATAGAACCCGATAAAGATATATATTATGAGAAACTAGAAAAAGAGTTAAAGAAGAAGCTCAATATAAAGAAGCAGAAAGTGCAAAAGACTATTGTCTTCAGTAATGCAGTACAAAAATCATCATGTACTGCATCATGATGGTGGTGAAGAAAAAGCAAAAGTAGAAAATGAACATAAAAAAATAAATAAGGAGAAAAATAAATAAAGAAGAGATGATGAGTAAGAAGTAGTAACAGTAAGAGAAGATGATGTAAAAAAAGAAATAAAAATCATAAGAACTTAGATAGGAAGAAAGTAGTAGAATCCAGTAAAGATGGCGAAGATAAAAATGAAAGTTAACAGTAAGAGCAGTAGAAAACAATTTCTTTTTACTTTCATCAAAAACCTACCACTTAATATGCTCATAAATTGTTTCCAAAAAGGTCGTTTCACCCCGTCCTCCTCAATTTTCGTTTTCGCATTTTCAACACCTTTTGCATCAAAACAAAAAGTCCCACTTTTAAAAAATGACTTCATTATCCGTTTTTCCAAAGACACTTTTTTCGAATCTGAAGAAAATATTTTAAACAAATATTAAAAATTCACTGTCCAATTTTATTTATTTTTGTTTTGCTTTATAGTTGGTTGCATTTGTTTCGTGTGTTTAGTTTGTTCGGTAGAATATTTGTCTATTTATTTGTTTAAATCTTTGTTTCTTTATTTGTTTAAATCTTTGTATCTTTAATTGTTTGGATATTTTTTCTTTACTTGTGTAAATTTACTTTCTTGAATATTAGTTATTCGTTAATATGTTTATTTGTTAGCTTGTTTTAAAAAAAAGCAGTAATCAAAAAAAAATTTGTTAAAATCTGTAAAATTATAAAATTAAGTTACGAACTAATCACAACAAAAAAATAATAGCTATGAGAAAAAAATTATTTACGATACTTACATAATTTTTCACGAAAAATTAAATTTAAATGTATAATAAATAATCTTTCGAATGAGAGACTGATTGACAATAAAGAGAAAATTGATCAAAAATCACAAAAAAATTAATCAACTATTTAACTTTATTCGATTCAATTTCCACATGTTTTGTGAATAAATAAATTTTCTCATTCAGCTTTTCAATGTAAAATATTTGTTATTTTAATTTTAATATTTCTCTTAAGAAATAATTCACCAACTATGTCAAAACAAGACTAACGAGTTTTTCTTTTTTATTTTATTTAACAATAATTTAACAACAAAGTCATTTCTGATTATTATCGATATTCAATTTATCGCAATATTAGTGATTGAAGGAGTATTAACTTTCACATATTTTTGATGATTGATTTGAAATTGTAATTTTCATTATCGAAAGAGAGAAAATTGAGAGGTCAATAAAATTTTATTCAAATATATCATATATATGTTAATTGAAGATTATTTATAATAAACATTGCACGTGTAAAAATTTGATCTTCATAATTGATTGTTTTACTGGCTATAAAATTGATAAAAAAACGTTACTAATTACATTTTTTTTTAAATTAAATCGTAGAAAATTATTAGTAATAATAATTGATTAATAATTATAATTATTATAATTATTTTCTCAATTATTATTATAATTAATTATTATTTATTTATTTAATTATAAGGGACTAATTATTAGCTATTGTTGTAATTATGATTATTATTAATAATCTCGAAAAAAAGAATGTAATAAAAGAAAATTGTTTTAGTTTTAAATTCACCAGTTTCTAAAAAATGGTCTCGTGGAAAAAAGGAGAAAGTAATTTTTTGTTTAATAAATAAAAAATAACTGGGTCAATTATTATCTTCCAAGTGTCTTTGAATAGTTTATTAAATTTCAAATCACTGAAATATTTATTATCCTTTATTCTTTTTTTTTGTTGAAAACTATATAAAAGGTGAGTTATAATTAATTTGCGAAGGTTATCAAAACAAAAAAAAATTATAATCTCTTCTTATGCTTCTTGAGCTTAAAGGGGGATTACAAAAGAAAACGAAATTTATATTATTCTTGCAAATGAAACGTAATTCGAGAGATGTAGATCAGTAGATCACGACATGTTTTTATTATCTTATATATAGTACTGTGAGAACTTGACTTCAAGGCATCCTCTCATTAATAAATTTTTCATTTTTTAATTAATCATGAACTTTGAAATTTTTTTTTCTTCCTCCTCATCATAACTAATAGACGAAAGAAGAGATAAAAGATCTTCAATATTCTTAGCAAAGTGAACCTGTATGTTAATTATCATATTCACATTTTCTATCGATTCACCTAATTACACTATATTAATATATTTCCTTCACTTTTCGATAATTAGTTTTTACAGTTTTTTTATTTTTGAAAAAAAATTAATAATTTTTGTTTACGAAACGAGAGAAATAAGAAATCAAATTATTTTTTTAATATTATTATTTAATAATATTATTCATTGAAATAATTCTAATTTTTTTTTTATAATTTATAGAATAAATTTATAACTTTGAACCAAATTTGAAAAAAAAATACTTCCCTCGGATATTGTTATACATTTTTATAAAATATCTACAACGATTGTTGAATCAACGACTTTTCACTCGAACAGAAATTGAAAGTAAAAATACAAAAAAATTTGATCCATTTGAAAACTATTTATTACAGAACTTGCCCTCTTCGATGGGAGAGAAATCGATGAAAAATCGAGCATCGCAATTGTATGGCCTCGGATCGAAAGGTCAAATGCATAGAAGAATATTTTGCATCACACTTGTATATAAATTTAACCTCAGGATATTTGCTGCACCTTTCGAAAAAAACAAAAAAATTCAAAATATCGATCCATTTCAACAAAAGGCGCTCATTTCTTTATAATAACTTTAACTATTTTTTTGTTACAAACATTAACGATCGAAATGGAAAATATTTACTACTTCAAATTTTTTAGTTAGAAAAACAATTGATTGTAAATTTGTAACTATCAACAATTTAAATTACTATCAGTAACTGTGATAACCATCAGTAACGAAATGTTAATTTTTACTTTCAACATAAGAAAAAACATAAAAACAAGTTAAAAAAAATTATTTATAGTTAAAATAATGATGATCATGATTATGATGAAAATGATATTCATGTTGATTATGATGTTATTGATGATGATTATGTTGATAATGATGATAATGATGACAATGATGACAATGATGATGATTATAATGAAAATGATAATAATGATTATGATTAAAATGATAATGATGATGATTATGACGAAAAGGATAATGATGTTTATAATTAAAATGATAATTATACTTATCATATAATCATTATAATGATTAATTTGATAATGATGATGATTATGACAAAAAGGATAATGATGATTATAATTAAAATGATAATTATACTTACGATAATGATTATGATAATAATTAAGTTAAAAATGATTATGGTGATAATGATGATGATTATGACGAAAATGATAATGGTTATGATGTTAATGATCATAATTATGTTAATAATAATGATAACAATCATGATTATGAAAATGATGATGATTATGATGAAAATGAAGTTGATGATGATGATGATGGAAAGATGATAATATAAATTATGAAAGCTGTAAATATAATGAAACCGTGGGGAAGAGAATGATTGATATATCACCACCACGAATGCGTAGGATTATAAGAGTACAATAGACTGGTGAAAAGTGTCATCAACTTTTTTTTTCATTTAATATCTATATATATAGGAGATGCTTCATGAAGGGCTTAACCTTGGATTATTGCAAAAGTGGGTGGACAATAATAATTGGAGAATTTTTCTTAGGCGTGGCTTTTACGATGCTCGACTCGAGCGCAACGAAGATGCTATAAAAGCAAGTCTCACCGATTGTCGAAGCGCACTCACATTACGAAAACGGTTCGTCGTCGGTGGTTGTCTTTCGATTACGGCCATGGGACTCATCGTAAGTGCGCCAATCTTTACGACCAAAAAAAAAAAAATTAAAGAAAACCAAAGGAAAACAAAAAAACACAAAAAAAAATTGTTTCACTTTACGTTCAATGACCTCGAAAATGGAGAGTTCAATGCGCGAATATTATAAGTGTATCTTCAAATAACGACAAAGAAAATAAAAATTATAATATAAATAAAAATAAAAAACAACAAAAATAAAAAAAAGCAACCAAAATTAGAAAAAGCCAACAAAAACAAAAAGGAAAACAAAGTAAAAATGAAATAAAAAAACGATAAAACAAAATAAAAAGAATTATAAAATATCAAAATAAAGATTTAAACAAAAGAAAACAAAAATAGAAACAGAATAAAAATCTAAACAAAAAAAAAATACAAATTTAAAAGCATAATAAAGATTTAATCAAAAAAATAAAACTGGAAATAATATAAAAATTTAAAAAAGAAAATAAAAACAGAATAAAATAAAGATCTAAACAAGGAAATAAATACGGAAAGAAAATAAAAAACAAGAAAAACACGGAAACATAATAACAAAATAAAAAAAGAAATGAAAATCTAAACAAAAAAATACAGAATAAAAATCAAAACAAAAAAAACCATAAAAAAACAAAGATCTGAAGAAAAAAACTGAATAAAAAAAGAAAATAAAATACAAAGTAAAAAACAAAAAAAATCTGAAGAAAAAAATGGAATATTTTGTGACTACTTTTTTTTAATTTATAATAACAATAATTATCGCAATGGACAATAATTTTCCTTCGCAAGGAAAAATTTACAAATGAATGATAAAAAGGTCTTTTCGAATGTAAATGATAATTTTTGTGTTTGTGATTTCTGTGATTTTATGTTTGATTAAAAATGTTTATATTATTCAAAAAAAAAAAAAACCCAACGTGAAAAATCAAACTGTGAAATTTGTGAAACAAAGTTTGTTTGTGAATTTTGAGAAAAACATTGAAAGAAAATTCGGAAAATTAAAACAAAATCGACTTTGTAATACAAGAAAAATTATTTAATTAATTTTTAATCAATTAAAAATTATGTATAAATTAAAATCACTCTCTTGCTTTTAGAAGTAACAAGTAGAAAAATTCACGTCATGTCAGACATATTTTGCATTATCATCTTCTTTTTGTGTTCGTCAATTAGAGTAGAATTCACTGTTAATTTGTTACTATAATATAATTTATATAATATAATAATATAATCTGTAATTTTTTATAAATAAGTAACATATAATTAGTATTTATTTGTTTATTTCTTAGAACGTTTTAATATAAACATTTTCATTTATTCAATTCACTATATTTATTTTCACTATATTTCACTATATTTATTCATTCACGCTAATGGATATAATGAAGTGTTTTAAAAATAATAATTATAATAATAACAAATTACAATAATAACAATAATTTCACATTGTAGAATGATTGACCACTAGTTGTAAATTGTAACTAAATAATAAATCATCGCAAAATCATGTATTTCATTTTGTGTTGTTAATAAAATGTGTTCCTAATAATATTGTTGCAATTAATTATTAATATCACTCACACCTTACTAGTTTTTTATCCTTTTCCTGCACACTTTTCACATTTAGTAACAAATGAATAGATAATAATAATATATTTAATAAAATTTTTAATTTCTTTAAATTTAAATTTATGTAAAGAAGAAAAAATTTGATAAAACAATATTTTTAAATTTTAAACATAAAACAGGAAAGATGAAAAAAAAATTGTATTTTGGGCTCTTCAAAAACACTTTACCCAATTTTTTATCTCAGCCCTTTCGTTAAAAATCTAAAAATATCAGAAATTATCAAAAATTTAAAAAATTGAATTTTTAAAATTCAACATTCTTTCTTCTTTTTTATGGCATTTTGCTTCATTATTTTTGGGCTTTTCAAAAATACTTTACCCAATTTTTTATCTCAGCCCTTTGGTTAAAAATCTAAAATTATCAAAAATTATCAAAAATTCAAAAAACCGATTTTCTTAAAATTCAACATTTTTTCTTCTCTTTTACGGCATTCAGCGTCAATATTTTTGGGCTCTTTAAAAACACTTTACTTATTTAAACAGTGTGTCTAACAAGGATTGAAAAAATAATTCCCGACTTTTTTCCTGACTTTTTACTAATTTTATTTCTGCATTCTTGGGACAAAAAAATGGTAACTGACATATTTAAACAAACGATAATAAAAATCTTCTAAATTTTTTTAGATTAAAACAATTTTCAATTAATAATAGTTTCAATAGTAGTGTCAAATAAATTTAACAATTAATGGTGGTTTTGAACTGTGCTAGTTTAACTCAATGGTAGTTTTCAGAAATTTCAGCTTTAATGAATGATAGTTTAAATTAAATATTATCTTCCATTAATGGTAGTTTTAAAATATTTATTATCATTTATTGCAGATATTTGCAGAAATTTGTTGCAAATTGTTTTGATGACAATTTGCAGAGATAACTAAAAAAAAATAAAAAAACAACAAAATTACTTTTTTTTGTCCAATTAAAATACAATATTACAGATAAATACTAATAATAAAAAAAATTATCATGAATGAAAAAAATTACCTATTTTACTGAATGAAAATAAAATTCCCTTTTATTACATGAACATAATATAATATACGATTTACGCTCATTTTCTCTCACACATTTGCCAACTGTTAAATATATTATTATTATTATTCGAAAGAAAAATTCACGATGCAAAAATATTGCACATGTGTGAAAATTTTCTCGCTAGTAAAAGAAGCTTAAACTTTCATAATATACATGTACATACATCCGGTAAATAAAATACCTACGAGAAGAGGGAGATGACATGACGCGACGCCTCTGCTTTTATTCTAGACTCAATGAACAAGTTCACGGTCGTAATTCTCACACATTCGTTCAATGACTCTTCATACACACAATGTATAGAAACATGTATCTCTACTATATAGGAAAATGTTTTCTGTCGTAAACTGAATTTATTGCTAAAAACAAAGATAATAATCTTCCCTTGAAAAAGGAGAAGCTTGTCTTCATCATAAAACATTCATTTTACTTCAGTTCTGACAATTTAATATAAATTTCAAATTTTTTTATTTACCTTTTTTTTCTCTTCTTGTTTCTTGAAAAAGAAAGTGAAATTTATATTTTCTACTCGAAGAAAACCATTAGAGTTATCATTGTTTGGAACTACCATTGCTTTCAACTATCATTATTTTTAAGTACGATTATTATTTGGAACTACAAGGAAAAGTTGTTTGTTTTTACACAAAATTTAAGGAACAAAGCAGAGAAACAGATTTTATTGAAATTTAAAAAAGATACCAAACTTTGAAATTTTTAAAATAAGAAAATCTCAATTTTTTGTACTTTTCTGGAAAAGTGTAATAACTTTTTTGAATTAGGTTTTACAGAAATGTGTCTAAAGGAAAAGTTGTTTGTTTTTACACAAAATTTAAGGAAAAAAGCAAAAAAACAGATTTTAATAAAAATTGAAAAAGATACCAAAGTTTGAAATTTTTAAAATAAGAAAATCTCAATTTTTTGTACTTTTCTGGAAAAGTGTAATAACTTTTTCGAATTTGGTTTTACAGAAATGTGTCTAAAGGAAAAGTTGTTTGTTTTTACTCAAAATTTAAGGAAAAAAGCAGAAAAACAGATTTTAATGAAATTTGAAAAAAATACCAAGGTTTGAATTTTTCAAAATAAGAAAATCTCAATTTTTTGTACTTTTCTGAAAAAATATCATAACTTTTTTGATTTTTGTTCTACAGAAATGCGTCAAAGGGAAAAGTTGTTTGTTTTTGGTCCAAATTTAAGGAAAGAAGCAGAAAAACAGATTTTGATAAAAATTCAAAAAGATACCAAAGTTTGCATTTTTCAAAATCTCAATTATTGTACTTTTTTGGAAAAGTGTGATAACTTTTTTGATTTTTGTTCTACGGAAATGCATCAAAAGAAAAAGTTGTTTGTTTTTGGTCCAAATTTAAGAAAAATTGTAGAAAAACAGATTTTGATGAAAATTAAAAAAGATACCAAAGTTTGCCTTTTTCAATATCTCAATTATTGTACTTTTTTGGAAAAGTGTGATAACTTTTTTGATTTTTGTTCTACGGAAATGCATCAAAAGAAAAAGTTGTTTGTTTTTGGTCCAAATTTAAGAAAAATTGTAGAAAAACAGATTTTGATGAAAATTAAAAAAGATACCAAAGTTTGCCTTTTTCAATATCTCAATTATTGTACTTTTCTGGAAAAGCGTGATAACTTTTTTGATTTTCGTTCTACAGAAATATGTCTAAGGGAAAAGTTGTTTGTTTTTGGACCAAATTTATGGAGAAAAGCAGAAAAACAAATTTTGATAAAAATTGAAAAAGATACCAAAGTTTAAAAATTTCAAAATAAGAAAATCTCAATTTTTTGTACTTTTCTGGAAAAACATCATAACTTTTTTGATTTTTGTTCTACGGAAATGCGTCAAGAGAAAAAGTTGTTTGTTTTTGGTCCAAATTTAAGGAAAGAAGCAGAAAAACAGATTTTGATAAAAATTGAAAAAGATACCAAAGTTTGCATTTTTCAAAATCTCAATTATTGTACTTTTTTGGAAAAGTGTGATAACTTTTTTGATTTTTGTTCTACAGAAATGTGTCTAAAAGAAAAGTTGTTTGTTTTTACTCAAAATTTAAGAAAAAAAGCAGAAAAACAGGTTTTAATAAAAATTAAAAAAAATATCTCGGTTTGAATTTTTAAAAATTAGTAAATCTCCACTTTTTGTACTATTATTTTTAATTTCCATTGCGAGGTACTATCATTATTCAGATCTACCATTACTTTCAATTGTTAGGAATTATCATGAACCACAAACATTCGAAACTATACTCATTAATTTGAATTAGAAAAATTTTTACTGATTCAAATTAGTGGCTGACTTTTTGCTTTTGAATTAGTAAATTTTACTTATAAATTAGTAGAAATTACTAATACGACTTTTTAAACTCTTAAATAATAAAAAAAAATTAATTTGTATTTTTACAATTTTTTGTTTTGTTCATTATTTTCAAAAATAATATTTTCAATTGAATTATTTAACTAACTTAATTGAATTTTAATTATGTTTTATACAATTTTAAATGATTTCTTCGAAAAATACAATTATTCTAAAAAATTTTACGAAAATTTTTCAAAAGAATAATTTAATTATTTTCAAAAATTTTGATAACATTTCTTACACGAATTTATTTCTATAAAATAAAAAATTACATGTTAATTAGTAAATGAAATAAGAATTTTTTTTTAATTATTTATGAGAGAATAATAAAAGTATTTCTTTTTTGGGAAAATGGAAAAAATTCTAATAGAATATGTAGGTAGTTGTGTTTATTAAATTCTTTTGATGATTCAGTGACGCCTCTATTTGTAAGTGGTGTAATGATTATATCGTGCAAATTTCAAGGGAAATTGTAAATTTAACATTTTTTTTTACTATTTAATGATATCTCCTTTCGTGTTTATACTAGTGGGATGTCAATTGTTTGATGGATATTATTAGGAAAAAAAGTTAATTATTATTCTTTTCATAATTATATACAAAATGCATAATTTATCATTGAAATTTTAGAAAAATGATAAATCTCTTATTTGTTTTATTTTTCTTCATTGTTAAATTATTTATTAATTATTATTGTTTATTAATTATTATTGACTATTTATTATTAACTATTTTTAAAAAACGTTAACAATTTTTAAGTCGGTTATTATTTTTTAAAATAATTGAATTCCTTTGAAGAATTTTAGTAAATTTCAGTAATTTTTGTTTTTAAGAACAATTGCATTTTTCTTTCTCTTGTAACAGATTTTTCTGATCGTGTGTGTCGTCTTGACGGCGTGCGAAGGTAAATACGAGGATAATGAATTTCGCTACGTGGGACCACCGGCGCCCTTGGCTGAAGATGGAAGGGTAATTGACACACCTGAAGTGGCTCATGCTCGTGCCATGCATTTGGCAGCTCACGCCGAGGCCCTTCGAAGATTGGCACAAGTGCCCACACCTCCGGATGCTTACGAGGACACTCGTGGCAACGATGGTGTCTATCACGACACATCCTATGTTTCTTCAATTGCTTCCAGAAATTATATAGCACCAATCGTCTACAATGGCCGAGTAATGGACACCCAGGAGGTGATCATTTTCTCTTCTTCTTTTTCTTCTTTACCATCATAAATCCATTTCTTCTTCTCATTCCCATTTTTTATCTAAGGCCTCAATTATTGACAAAAAAATCCAAAGAGATAAAAAATTTTTTCTAATTATTATTAAATAATATCAAAAAATTATTTATTACCAATAATTAACTAATAATTATCAATCAATAATAATTATGAAGAGATAATTAAAATAAAAGAAACTCTCGAATTATTGACAAAAAATCCATAGAGAGATGGAAAATTTCAATTACAAGATAATAAACAATAAACGTGCTTCCCTAATGATAGTCAACTTTGAAAAAAAATCACTATTTCTCTCCTTCTCAAAGAAAAATCAAAACAATGTGTCAATCAAATGATGCAAGAATCATCAACTTTGTTGTTATCCCTATTTATTTTGTAGGTGATATTCAAGAAAATAATAATAGAGTACAGCAACTTTGTAATAGCCAGTCATTAGATGTAACAATATATTTTATGTTTGCCGATTCACCATTTGAAGACTCTCATTACTTCTATGAGTGAAGAAATGAGGAAATCAGATAAAAAGAACCTTTAACATTTCAATTCTAAACTGCACCCCAATGAAGTAATATAATTACCAATTATTAGAAAATGTATATTCCACGATATATATATATTACATTCTCATACATAACTTCGACTTCAATTAACTTCATAAAGAAATAAATTAATTTAAAATAAAGATAAAATTCTAAATAATGACTTTTCTCTTTCTTTCCAGGTGGCACGGACAAAGACAGCACACCTATCGGCATACAATCAAGCGCTGAGCAACAGTTACTATCAACCCCAAGTGAATTACGATACGAGAAGAAATTACGTTTATTCATCGCCAATACATGTTTCCTATACGCATAATGTGCCAGCAAGTTATAATGGACCATTGGCGCCACTGGGACCCGATGGAAGAGTTATCGATACACCGGAAGTTGCCGAAGCAAAGGCGGCCCACATGAAAGCTCACGCTTACGCCGCCTCATTGGTTGGACAACCTCCTGCCTACAATACTATATATTAAATTTTATTTTTTTATAATCTAAACATAATTTTTTCTATTAAAAAACAAAATAAAAAAAAATATGAGCAAAATAAAATTAATTTATTTATTTCATTTAATAAAAAAATTATGATCAAAAAAATTCGTTTACTTAAAAAAGGCTTTTTTAAAGATAAAATGAATTTCTTTAAAAAAATACTTATTCAGAAAAAAAACTTTTCTTTAAAACTTTTATGGAAAAATGTCATAACATTTTTGATCTTTTCAAAATAAGAAAATTTCGATTGTTTGTACTTTTCTGGAAAAGTGTGATAACTTTTTTGAATTTTCTTCAACAGAAAAGTGTCAAAAGGAAAAGTTGCTTGTTTTTGAACCAAATTTGAGGAAAAAAGCAGAAAAACAGATTTTAGTAAAAATTAAAAAAGATACCAAAGTTTGAAATTTTCAAAATAAGAAAATCTCAAATTTTTGTACTTTTCTAGAAAAGTGTGATAACTTTTTTGAATTTTCTTCTACAGAAAAGTGTCTAAAGGAAAAGTTGCTTGTTTTTGAACCAAATTTGATGAAAAAAGCAGAAAACCAGATTTTGATAAAAATTTAAAAAGATACCAAACTTTGAAATTTTCAAAGCTAATAAATCACAAATTTTTGTACTTTTTTTTAAAAATAGTGATAACTTTTTTGAATTTTCTTCTACAGAAAAGTGTCTAAAGGAAAAAATGCTTGTTTTTGAATTAAATTTAAGGAAACAGGCGAAAAACAGATTTTGATAAAAATTTAAAAAGATACCAAAGTTTGAAATTTTCAAAATAAGAAAATCTCAAATTTATGTACTTTTCTGGAAAAGTGTGATAACTTTTTTCAATTTTCTTCTACAGAAAAGTGTCTAAAGGAAAAGTTGCTTGTTTTTAAACCAAATTTAAGGAAAAAAGCAGAAAAACAGATTTTGATAAAAATTAAAAAAGATACCAATGTTTAAAATTTTTAAAATAAGAAAATCTCAATTGTTTGTACTTTTCTGGAAAAGTGTGATAACTTTTTTGAATTTTCTTCTACAGAAAAGTGTCAAAAGGAAAAGTTGCTTGTTTTTGAACCAAATTTGAGGAAAAAAGCAGAAAAACAGATTTTAGTAAAAATTAAAAAAGATACTAAAGTTTGAAATTTTCAAAATAAGAAAATCTCAAATTTTTTACTTTTCTAGAAAAGTGTGATAACTTTTTTGAATTTTCTTCTACAGAAAAGTGTCTAAAGGAAAAGTTGCTTCTTTTTGAATTAAATTTAAGGAAAAAAGCGGAAAAACAGATTTTGATAAAAATTTAAAAAGATACCAAAGTTTGAAATTTTCAAAGCTAATAAATCTAAAATTTTTGTACTTCTTTTTAAAATATGTGATAACTTTTTTGAATTTTGTTCTACAGAAAAGTGTCTAAAGGAAAAGTTGCTTGTTTTTGAACCAAATTTAAGGAAAAAGGCAGAAAAACAGATTTTGATAAAAATTTAGAAAGATACCAAAGTTTGAAATTTTCAAAGCTAATAAATCTTAAATTTTTGTACTTCTTTTTAAAATATGTGGTAACTTTTTTGAATTTTGTTCTACAGAAAAGTGTCTAAAGGAAAAGTTGCTTGTTTTTGAACCAAATTTAAGGAAAAAAGCAGAAAAACAGATTTTGATAAAAATTTAGAAAGATACTAAAGTTTGAAATTTTCAAAGCTAATAAATCTAAAATTTTTGTACTTTTTTTAAAAAAATATGATAACTTTTTTGAATTTTCTTCTACAGAAAAGTGTCTAAAGGAAAAGTTGCTTGTTTTTTAACCAAATTTAAGGAAAAAAGCCGAAAAACAGATTTTGATAAAAATTTAGAAAGATACCAAAGTTTGAAATTTTCAAAGCTAATAAATCTAAAATTTTTGTACTTCTTTTTAAAATATGTGATAACTTTTTTGAATTTTCTTCTACAGAAAAGTGTCTAAAGGAAAAGTTGCTTGTTTTTGAACCAAATTTAAGAGAAAAAGCAGAAAAACAGATTTTGGTAAAAATTAAAAAAGATACTAAAGTTTGAAATTTTCAAAATAAGAAAATCTCAAATTTTTTACTTTTCTAGAAAAGTGTGATAACTTTTTTGAACTTTCTTCTACAGAAAAGTGTCTAAAGGAAAAAATGCTTGTTTTTGAATTAAATTTAAGGAAAAAAGCGGAAAAACAGATTTTGATAAAAATTTAAAAAGATACCAAAGTTTGAAATTTTCAAAGCTAATAAATCTAAAATTTTTGTACTTCTTTTTAAAATATGTGATAACTTTTTTGAATTTTCTTCTACAGAAAAGTGTCTAAAGGAAAAGTTGATTGTTTTTGAACCAAATTTAAGGAAAAAAGCAGAAAAATAGATTTTAGTAAAAATTAAAAAAGATACCAAAGTTTGAAATTTTCAAAATAAGAAAATCTCAATTGTTTGTACTTTTCTGGAAAAGTGTGATAACTTTTTTGAATTTTCTTCTACAGAAAAGTGTCTAAAAAAAAAATTGCTTGTTTTTAAACCAAATTTGAGGAAAAAGGCAGAAAAACAGATTTTGATAAAAATTTAGAAAGATACCAAAGTTTGAAATTTTCAAAGCTAATAAATCTAAAATTTTTGTACTTCTTTTTAAAATATGTGGTAACTTTTTTGAATTTTGTTCTACAGAAAAGTGTCTAAAGGAAAAGTTGCTTGTTTTTGAACCAAATTTAAGAGAAAAAGCAGAAAAACAGATTTTGGTAAAAATTAAAAAAGATACTAAAGTTTGAAATTTTCAAAATAAGAAAATCTCAAATTTTTTACTTTTCTAGAAAAGTGTGATAACTTTTTTGAATTTTCTTCTACAGAAAAGTGTCTAAAGGAAAAAATGCTTGTTTTTGAATTAAATTTAAGGAAAAAAGCGGAAAAACAGATTTTGATAAAAATTTAAAAAGATACCAAAGTTTGAAATTTTCAAAGCTAATAAATCTAAAATTTTTGTACTTCTTTTTAAAATATGTGGTAACTTTTTTGAATTTTGTTCTACAGAAAAGTGTCTAAAGGAAAAGTTGCTTGTTTTTGAACCAAATTTAAGGAAAAAAGCAGAAAAACAGATTTTGATAAAAATTTAGAAAGATACCAAAGTTTGAAATTTTCAAAGCTAATAAATCTAAAATTTTTGTACTTCTTTTTAAAATATGTGATAACTTTTTTGAATTTTGTTCTAGAGAAATGCGTCTAAAGGAAAAGTTGTTTGTTTTTGAACCAAATTTAAGGTAAAAAGCAGAAAAATAGATTTTAGTAAAAATTAAAAAAGATACCAAAGTTTTAAATTTTCAAAATAAGAAAATCTCAATTGTTTGTACTTTTCTGGAAAAGTGTGATAACTTTTTTGAATTTTCTTCTACAGAAAAGTGTCTAAAGAAAAAATTGCTTGTTTTTGAACCAAATTTGAGGAAAAAGGCAGAAAAACAGATTTTGATAAAAATTTAGAAAGATACCAAAGTTTGAAATTTTCAAAGCTAATAAATCTAAAATTTTTGTACTTCTTTTTAAAATATGTGGTAACTTTTTTGAATTTTGTTCTACAGAAAAGTGTCTAAAGGAAAAGTTGCTTGTTTTTGAACCAAATTTAAGGAAAAAAGCAGAAAAACAGATTTTGATCAAAATTTAGAAAGATACTAAAGTTTGAAATTTTCGAAGCTAATAAATCTAAAATTTTTGTACTTTTTTTAAAAAAATATGATAACTTTTTTGAATTTTCTTCTACAGAAAAGTGTCTAAAGGAAAAGTTGCTTGTTTTTGAACCAAATTTAAGGAAAAAAGCCGAAAAACAGATTTTGATAAAAATTTAGAAAGATACCAAAGTTTGAAATTTTCAAAATTAGTAAATTTCAATTTTTTGTACTTTTGTGATGAATTTTTTTTCACTTTTTATATATTTGTTTAGAGGCAAGAATATCTCTTACAATCGATCACTATTGAGTAAAAGAATGAAAATTATTATTTAATAGAAATGAGACGAATTGAATCTAGATATAAATTATTGTCGTCGCAAGGTAGCAGATCATTGTGAGAGTTGACTTTCGGTTTTTCCGAGTGAGTGAGAGAGAGAGAGTGATTAAAAAGCTCTCCCAACGTAACGTGAGTGCACTCGTTCTGTCATCCTACACTATATATACACACAATAAGTATGCAGGTAGGTGGGTTGCTTGGTAGGTAAGTAAGTAGGTAGGTAGGTAACAAAGTAGGTGAGTAGGTGGGCGTCAGCCAATGAGAAATCGAAAGGAAGAGCACTCCCAGTTTGAACTTATAACACACTCACAACTTACGCAATATCGACATAAACTCACGATAACAATATTATTATTCGTCGGTCGGGGCATTTTTACCACGATTCGCATGCGGTTATTAAATTCTTCCAAGAAAACTTTATTATTGTCCGATTTCTTTTATTTCAATATTCTTCAATCTAATTTTCTTTCATTTAATAATTAATTTAACATTCGAAATTATAAAAAATAGTTACTTATTAATTTTATCGTTGCAAAACGAATTGAAATTAATGCAAAATAGGGTTTTTGTAGAAATTTATTTTCTAAGAAAATCCTCAGAAAAAGCATTAAAGTTTTAAGTTTAAAAAAAAGTAAAAAATACAAAAAATTGTATAAAAATAAAATCAAATATATTTACTTGTGAATTGTAATTATTATATCTTGATCTTTTTTGTTTCATTTATTTACCTTCGTTTTTGTGAACTAAAAATTAACTGCTTAGTAAAGGGGAAAATTGATACCTTCTGCTTTTCAATCAAGGAAGAATTCTAATGGAGGTGAAAAGTCAAGCGTTTCTGTTCGCTTGAATGTTGTTCGATTATTTTTTTATTGTTTCTCCTTTTTTATGGTGTTTATATCGATAAACAAAAGTAGAAAACCGGTTTTCGTATGTATATATATATACGATATCTTATCTCTGGACAATTGTTCTCTTAGACAGTAGCGAATGAACAACAAATGAAGCAAGGACATGATTGTTCATGCCTGACGAGGAATGCATCTCTAGACCACTTTTCGCTATCATTAACAATCTTAATTTCGATTCATGTCACGGGCGTGTTAATGCACGTGAATACCTATGTTAATCGGAAAATTTCAATTATTTACTTATTACCGTATTCAATTAGCCTTTCAGAAAACTTGAGCAGGAAGTCTGTCTTGTATTTATGTGTTAACTAATAATAACAACATCGAGAATAATATAATAATAATTTATATGCACAACATTAGCATCGTCGTCGCACGTAAACAACGTGTATTATATTTACACTTTCACGTTATTGTAATTATTAGATAATATTATTTTTTACGCTGCAATTTTAAATAATCAGTAAAAAAGCGAAATAAAAAAATTCTTTCCTTACGCACTAAAATTTGTATTAGTTTCTCCCTTAGACACGAAAATTACCTTCCATTTCCTGTTTTTATTTTTAATTATAGTTTTTGTGAACGAGATTAAAATTTATTTTAAAAAAAAAATTTTCGTCTTTTTACTCTTAATTTTAGTTTTTGGTGAATGGGATTAAAGTTTATTTAAAAACAAAATTTCCCCTTTTTACTGTTAAATTGTACAAATAATTGTAAAAACAAAAAACTACTAAAAACTACTACTCAGAAATTTGATTCTAAATTTCTTCAAAATTCAATTATTTTCTAAATTTTTGCAATGTAATTTTTAAAAGTAAGCAAAGAAAATTATTTAATAAAATTTAGATTTAAATTGTTCACAGGAATTAAGAAAATAAATTAATAATTCTTCAAAGTAAAAATTTAAATGTTATTACAATATTACAACAATTAAAATTTTCAACGATTTCGATTTAATAATAATTTAAAATTAAGTTATTTCTCAAAAAAAAATCGTACTATAGCGCTTTTAATTTTTTTCGCGAAGAATTGTTTTTCTTTTGTTTTTAAATAATTGAATTCTCGTGAAAAATTTTATTATTTAGAAAAATATCTAAATTCTTGCGAAAAATATAATTTAATTTTTTTTTAATTAATTGAATTGTCATAAAAAATTTTATTTTATTTTCTTTTTATTTTATTTAAAAATTTTATTTTTTTATTTTATTTATTTTTTTTTATTTATTTGGTAAAATAATTGAATAATTGTGAAGAATTAAAGAAAGAATTCTTGCGAAAAACATGATTTTCAAGGATAAAGAAAAAGACCATTAATGACTTGTAATTTTTATTTATTATTATATTCAATTCTTTTTTGTAACATGTTAAAAATATAATAATAATTATACAATATTTACATCTAAAATGAGCACCAAACACCTTCTTAATCGTATAATAAAAAAATCTTAAAATTAACAAATTTTGTAAAATTTCAATCAATTAATAACAAATTGCAAAAAAGCAGTTAAATAATTATTTTACAATATTTATTCAACTAACGAAATCACGAATTATTATTGGAAACTTCAATCACCAAAAACAAAAAATAATTCATTACTGAAGCGATTCTTCCTTTCTTAGTTTTCTTTTTTTCAATTTTTTTTTCTAATAATTTTTTTCTACATTCGCATCAGACGAGGGAGTATTTTAATTTTTCTAAAAGTATTTTTCAACTTTTTTAATTAGAAGTAAAAAAGTAAAAAGTTTTTTTAGTAAAAAAGTAAAAGAGTAAAAACAATAAATTTTAATTAATGATGAAAATTTACTTTTCCGAAAAAAATTTTTTCAACAATAAATTACACTTCGCAAAAAAATGTATTAAAAAAATGTAAAAAGTGGAAGAAAAAGAAATTAGAGCAACAGCAATATTGGAGAGGAACAAAAAAAAGCACTTAAGCAAATATCTACGAGAAAATTGGATTTCTTTTATTCATTATTATTATCATTATCAATATTATTTATATTATTATTATTACTATAGCAATCGTCTAATCATCAGCCTTTGAAAAATAGAAAAATCATCGCCTTTCCGCTTAAAATAGAATTTCAATCATAAAAAAAGAAAAAAAAATTTTTTTTTAATTTCCCAAGACGATTTTTATAGTCAATCTTTTTCTTCGAGTCTTTCCAACGAGGTAGTTTTTAACGATAAATTATTATAAAAAAAATGTGAAAGAATTCTATCTTCCTTCATTGTATTGTATAAAAAATATATTTCCAGGTCGAAATTAAGTTTTCGTTTTTTTATTCCTATTTTTTTAATATTGTCCATAGTGTCCATTCCAGTCGCCACCATTCCATGCTGGATTCCAGCCTCCTGGTCCAGCGGGTCCGGCGGCTGCTGCCTTTTGCGCTTCAGCACTATAAAGTGCAAAATGATGGGCTTTCGCCGCTTGAACTTCCGGCGTGTCAACTACTCGTCCATCATGTCCCAATGGTGCTGGTGGTCCACTAATTATTGTTAAAAAATTTTTTTAGCAAATTTTTTATTTTTTTTCTTAACACTTTAAATATATTTTCAGTGTCTCTAATTTTTAAAATATCTTCGTTTAGCGGGGGAGATAATAAAATTTGAAGCAATAGTTTGAAATTTTCAAAATTAGTAAATCTCAATTTTTTGTACTTTTTTGGAAAAGTGTAATAACTTTTTTGAATCTGGTTTTACAGAAATGTGTCTAGAGGAAAAGTTATTTGTTTTTACACCAAATTTAAGGAACAAAGCAGAAAAACAGATTTTATTGAAATTTTAAAAAGATACCAAAGTTTGAAATTTTTAAAATAAGAAAATCTCAATTTTTTGTACTTTTCTGGAAAAGTGTAATAACTTTTTTGAATTTGGTTTTACAGAAATGCGTCCAAAGGAAAAATTGTTTATTTTTTAACGAAATTTAAGGAAAAAAACAGAAAAACAGATTTTACTGAAAATTAAAAAACATACCAAAGTTTTAAATTTTCAATACAAGAAAATCTCAATTTTTTGTACTTTTCTGGAAAAGTGTAATAACTTTTTTGAATCTGGTTTTACAGAAATGTGTCTAAAGGAAAAGTTGTTTGTTTTTTCACAAAATTTAAGGAAAAAAGCAAAAAAACAGATTTTAATGAAAATTGAAAAAGATACTAAAGTTTGAAATTTTTAATATAAGAAAATCTCAATTTTTTGTACTTTTCTTGAAAAGTGTAATAACTTTTTTGAATTTGGTTTTACAGAAATGCTTCCAAAGGAAAAATTGTTTGTTTTTGAACGAAATTTAAGAAGAAAAGCAGAAAAACAGATTTTACTGAAAATTAAAAAACATACCAAAGTTTTAAATTTTCAATATAAGAAAATCTCAATTTTTTGTACTTTTCGGGAAAAGTGTAATAACTTTTTTGAATTTGGTTTTACAGAAATGTGTCTAAAGGAAAAGTTGTTTGGTTTTACATAAAATTTAAGGAAAAAAGCAGAAAAACAGATTTTTATCAAAATTAAAAAAGATACCAAAGTTTGAAATTTTTAATATAAGAAAATCTCAATTTTTTGTACTTTTCTGGAAAAGTGTAATAACTTTTTTGATTTTTGTTTTACAGAAATGCGTCCAAAAGAAAAGTTGTTGGTTTTTACACAATTTTAAGGAAAAAAGCAGAAAAACAGATTTTAATGAAAATTGAAAAAAATACCAAAGTTTGAAATTATCAAAATAAGAAAATCTCAATTTTTGGTACTTTTCTGGAAAAGTGTAATAACTTTTTTGATTTTTGTTTTACAGAAATGCGTCCAAAAGAAAAGTTGTTGGTTTTTACACAATTTTAAGGAAAAAAGCAGAAAAACAGATTTTAATGAAAATTGAAAAAAATACCAAAGTTTGAAATTTTTAAAATAAGAAAATCTCAATTTTTTGTACTTTTCTGGAAAAGTGTAATAACTTTTTTGATTTTTGTTTTACAGAAATGCGTCCAAAAGAAAAGTTGTTGGTTTTTACACAATTTTAAGGAAAAAAGCAGAAAAACAGATTTTAATGAAAATTGAAAAAAATACCAAAGTTTGAAATTATCAAAATAAGAAAATCTCAATTTTTGGTACTTTTCTGGAAAAGTGTAATAACTTTTTTGATTTTTGTTTTACAGAAATGTGTCTAAAGGTAAAGTTGTTTGATTTTGCACCAAATTTAAGGAAAAAAGGAGAAAAACAGATTTTAATGAAAATTGAAAAAAATACCAAAGTTTGAAATTATCAAAATAAGAAAATCTCAATTTTTGGTACTTTTCTGGAAAAGTGTAATAACTTTTTTGATTTTTGTTTTACATTAATGCGTCCAAAGGAAAAGTTGTTTGTTTTTACACAAAATTTAAGGAAAAAAGGAGAAAAACTGATTTTAATGAAAATTGAAAAAGATACCAAAGTTTGAAATTTTCAAAATTAGTAAATCTCAATTTTTTGTACTTTTCTTGAAAAGTGTAATAACTTTTTTGAATTTGGTTTTACAGAAATGCGTCCAAAGGAAAAATTGTTTGTTTTTGAACGAAATTTAAGAAGAAAAGCAGAAAAACAGATTTTACTGAAAATTAAAAAACATACCAAAGTTTTAAATTTTCAATATAAGAAAATCTCAATTTTTTGTACTTTTCGGGAAAAGTGTAATAACTTTTTTGAATTTGGTTTTACAGAAATGTGTCTAAAGGAAAAGTTGTTTGGTTTTACATAAAATTGAAGGAAAAAAGCAGAAAAACAGATTTTTATCAAAATTAAAAAAGATACCAAAGTTTGAAATTTTTAATATAAGAAAATCTCAATTTTTTGTACTTTTCTGGAAAAGTGTAATAACTTTTTTGATTTTTGTTTTACAGAAATGCGTCCAAAAGAAAAGTTGTTGGTTTTTACACAATTTTAAGGAAAAAAGCAGAAAAACAGATTTTAATGAAAATTGAAAAAAATACCAAAGTTTGAAATTATCAAAATAAGAAAATCTCAATTTTTGGTACTTTTCTGGAAAAGTGTAATAACTTTTTTGATTTTTGTTTTACAGAAATGCGTCCAAAAGAAAAGTTGTTGGTTTTTACACAATTTTAAGGAAAAAAGCAGAAAAACAGATTTTAATGAAAATTGAAAAAAATACCAAAGTTTGAAATTTTTAAAATAAGAAAATCTCAATTTTTTGTACTTTTCTGGAAAAGTGTAATAACTTTTTTGATTTTTGTTTTACAGAAATGCGTCCAAAAGAAAAGTTGTTGGTTTTTACACAATTTTAAGGAAAAAAGCAGAAAAACAGATTTTAATGAAAATTGAAAAAAATACCAAAGTTTGAAATTATCAAAATAAGAAAATCTCAATTTTTGGTACTTTTCTGGAAAAGTGTAATAACTTTTTTGATTTTTGTTTTACAGAAATGTGTCTAAAGGTAAAGTTGTTTGATTTTGCACCAAATTTAAGGAAAAAAGGAGAAAAACAGATTTTAATGAAAATTGAAAAAAATACCAAAGTTTGAAATTATCAAAATAAGAAAATCTCAATTTTTGGTACTTTTCTGGAAAAGTGTAATAACTTTTTTGATTTTTGTTTTACATTAATGCGTCCAAAGGAAAAGTTGTTTGTTTTTACACAAAATTTAAGGAAAAAAGCAGAAAAACTGATTTTAATGAAAATTGAAAAAGATACCAAAGTTTGAAATTTTCAAAATTAGTAAATCTCAATTTTTGGTACTTTTCTGGAAAAGTGTAATAATTTTTTTGAATTTAGTTTTACAGAAATGCGTCTAAAAGAAAAGTTGTTTGTTTTTACACAAAATTTAAGGAAAAAAGCAGAAAAACTGATTTTAATGAAAATTGAAAAAGATACCAAAGTTTGAAATTTTCAAAATTAGTAAATCTCAATTTTTTGTACTTTTCTGGAAAAGTGTAATAACTTTTTTGAATTTGGTTTTACAGAAATGTGTCTAAAGGAAAAGTTGTTTGATTTTGCACTAAATTTAAGGAACAAAGCAGAAAAACAGATTTTACTGAAAATTGAAAAAGATACCAAAGTTTTAAATTTTCAATAAAAGAAAATCTCAATTTTTTGTACTTTTCTGGAAAAGTGTAATAACTTTTTTGAATTTGGTTTTACAGAAATGCGTCCAAAGGAAAAATTGTTTGTTTTTACACATAATTTAAGGAAAAAAGCAGAAAAACAGATTTTACTGAAAATTGAAAAAGATACCAAAGTTTTAAATTTTCAAAATTAGTAAATCTCAATTTTTTGTACTTTTCTTGAAAAGTGTAATAACTTTTTTGAATTTGGTTTTACAGAAATGTGTCTAAAGGAAGAGTTGTTTGTTTTTGCGCACAAAATCTAAGGAGCAAAGCAGAAAAACAGATTTTATTGAAAATTGAAAAAGATACTAAAGTTTGAAATTTCCAAAACTAGTAATTGAAGCTATGAGAACACAAAGCATCAAATTTTTAGATTTTACTGCAACCACTAGTGAATTAGTTATTAAACCTATTATTAGGTAAAGCTAAACAACAGTCATTATTTGTACCTTCTTTTAGTGCTACTTATACCTTTTTAGTTCTACTTTACTTGTAACTACTAGTAATTGAAGCGATTGCTACCATTAAGAAAAAGTAATTATTATTATTAGTTTCACTTTTGTGCAACTACTTGTTAATTAAAGCAACAATTCAGTTGGAGCTATGAGAAAAAAGCCACTAAATTTTATTGCAACTACTAGTAAGTAATTGAAGCTATTATTAGTTAAAGTTACTAAAAACAGACATTATTTTTTAGTTTCTTTTCGATGCAGCTAAAGTTAATTAAAATTATAATCCAGAATATATAAAGCAACCATTTCTTAGGGTTAAATTTTAGTACAACTACTAGGAATTGAAGCTGTAACAATTATTTGCGGCTTTACTATACTTTAACTACTAGTAATTGAAGCTATTAATTATTATTATTATTATTATTACTATTAATTTATTTTACCTACTAGTAATTGAAGTTTTTGTCATTACTGGTAATTTAGTACTAGTACTATTTTAGTACTAGTACTGGTAATTTAACCTAATGATATTATTTGGAACTTTATTTATACTTCAAATACTAGTAATTTAAGCTACTGCCGTCATTTACGGCTATATTGTATTATACCCTAACTACTAGTAATTGAAGCTAATACATCAGGAAGCAAACTTTTATTTATTTTGAAATATTTTCCAAACTTTTTTATTTTAACTACCAGTGACTGAAACTCTATAACTTATTCTGATTGTAAGCAGTAGTAAAATAATTCTTTAATTAATTTGTAAGCGTGAAGTAAGTGATCCATTATTTTTAGCTTCTTTTTACTACAACTACTAGTAACTGAAAATAGAATATTTTCATATTATTACTAGTAGTTTGTTTCAACCAATAATTATATTAATTAATAATGGTTACATAGTCAATAATCCAATAAGTGATAGTGACAATCAGTAAATATTTTCAGCAATGGTAATTACAACTAGTGATTATTATAATCAATGGTTGTTAAAACCAGTAATTATTGTAACCAATGGTAGTTACAACTAGAAATTATGGTAATCAATGGTAGTAACTAGTGATTATGGTAATCAATGGTAATCAAAACTACAACCAGTAAATATTTGCAGCAATGGTAGTTATAACCAGTAATTATTCGAAAAAAAAAAAAAAAATTCTGGATCCAGAATTTTTCTATTTGAAAAAAAATAATTTTCCAAGATTTTCCAATTTCTTTTTTTTTTACCTGTAATGGGAAACGTAGTTTCCAGAGGGATAGGCAGAGTGACCGCCATAAGGTCCCGAGGGACCTGATGGAGCACGAGCTGCCGCCTCAGCTAAAGCTGATAAATGAGCGGATTTTAAGTGAGCTACTTCCGGTGTATCGACGACTCTACCGTCCGGTCCCAATGGTGCTGGATTGTGACCATAGCCAACTGGTCCACCACCGTACCATTGTGGCGCTCCAAAAACCATGGAGGCTGAGGCCAAAAGTAACTGCAATAAAATTGGTACCAAACTTCTTTTTTTAAGTCATCCAATTGTAATGCCCAATAAATTCCCTTTTTATTATTAAGAATATTAGTAATTTTTTTTTCTCCCACCCCCACCCCTTGCATAATGTAAACACGATGTAAATACAGTTCCATTGTATTTTAAACAAGTAAATTGTTTTGATTTTTTTTTTTTGCCTTTTTTTGTTTTGATTTATTGTGAAAAAATACGAAATCAAATAAATAAAACCAAAAAAAATGAAACAAAAAAATGAAATTTTTTTGTTTCATTTTTTTCGGTTTTATTTATTTGGTTTTTTTTTGTTTTACTTTTTTTGTTTCCTTTTTAGTTTTCGTTTCTTTTTAGATTTGCTTTTTGTTTCATTTTTTTTTTTGGTTTTATTTATTTGGTTTTTTTTTTGTTTTACTTTTTTCGTTTCCTTTTTAGTTTTCGTTTCTTTTTAGATTTGCTTTTTTCTTTTCCTTTTTGTTTTAGAAATTAATTTTTATTTTCAAAAAATATTCAATTTATTAAAAATAAAATTTAATGACACTAAAATAAATTTTTTTTCTTTTAATTTTTGGTAATAGTAGCCGAACGTATTACTTATATTTAAAATAATATTGGTTATAATAAAATATAACTATATATAATATAAATATTTATGTAAACAAATTATGAACTTTAATATATTTTTATTTTGTTAAAAATAATTATATAAATAATTGCAATTAATAAATAAATAATTGATAATTAATATAAAATAAATAATTAGATTGTAATTACTAATAAGAAACGATTCGACGAAACAAAAACGAAACAAAAAAAAAAATACCGTAATTTATTTGTAATCCTTTTAATTAAATAAATCAAGTTCAATGGACACTGTTACACTTCACTGATTTCTTCATTATCATGGAAGAAATATGAGTCACTTAATACTCACTAATAAAAACATGTTGAATCCTTGTTGAATCGGGACTTTTTTTTTAATTACTCTTTCTAACTCTTTCTCTCTCTATTTTTCTCCTCTTGTTTATTTTAACACTGATTAATCAGTGATCGATAGTAACGAAGATACAAAGTCCACATGACTGTTGCATTCAAGGATCCGTCAATTTATAGAGGTTCTCGACAATCGCCTGCCATCACCCCACCCCATTTTTCATCGACACCACACCCAAGAAAATGTGCTCTCCTTTTTCTCCCACCCCCACCCCTTGTAATATAACGTGTATAATAATTACTTGATAGCGCATTGTTAATATTGTTTTTTGTTCCCTCTAAAATTCCTCCCTCTTCAAATTCCTTTACAAACTTTTTTAATTGATATTCGGAAATATATTTTTTTCTTTGAAACGCGAAGTGACATTTACGAATTTTTAAAATTTTTTAAATAATTAAATGGAAAAATAAGAAAAGTATTTTTTAAATGTTATATTTAAGTTGAAAAAAAAATATTTTTTTAAATATTTAATTTAATTTTTAAAAAAAGATTTTTTTAAATATTTATTTTTACTTCGAAATAAAAGTAGTTTTTTAAAAATAATATTTACTAGTAATTGAAGCTATTACTGGAAATTTCAATAATCAATTATCCTAGTTTTCAAATCCTAGTTGGAATACAAGTTGGAAATAATTTTCCTAATTCAACCATAATTATCATTTAACCATACAGCTTGAAAATCCTAGTAATTACAATTGACAATCAGAAATGATTTGTTTTTAAAATTATAGTTACTAAATTAACAATAGTCGACAATAGTATATAGTTAGAATAGTGTTCGCGTCTCGAATGCAGTTTATCCCTCAGTAATCGTTCATATTTTCTATTGTCTGCTCAAATTACTCCATAAATATTTACATTTATTACACTATAAATTTACAAGTAATATACTCGAACCTAGAATATTTAACTTCAGATATTTATGAATTCTACACAGAATTTAATGTTTACGAGTCATGTTCAACTAAATGTTACACGTGTTTTAATAACCAAGGCATCGTAATATGTATTAAATTGCACATAAACTATTTTTTTTTTCTTTTGATTCTTACGATAAGATTAGAATCAAGTTTTCTTTGCAAATCACAACAGTAAATCTATTCAATATAATTTTTTAAACAATTCAGGCAAATTTATTTCTCATTTTTTTACTCCGCCACCATTCAACATTCATTGTTAACAATTGTCAATTTTCAACAATTTTGATTCAAGTTGGACTTAAATTATTTTTTATTATTTTATTTATTTATTTTTTTTATTATTAACGTAAAATATTTTTTTTTTTAATTCTAAGTTTACGTGGAAACTATTAAAGCTATTTAATTTCAATATAGGCTTAATATTTTTGCTATTTACCAAGTAAACTATTTTTTAAATTTATTTTCTAATTTTTAATTAATTATAATTAGAATTAAATTACCTGTATTAATTTTATTTTTAATTTTAATTAATTATTAATAATTAAATCATAATTTCGAGGTTCGAGTCGAACGATTGAAGCTATACATAGAATGGTGAAAATATTTCTATCATTTACGAAGTAAAATAAAATTTTATATTTTTTTCAAAATTCTGAATATTAAGTAGATGTGATGTGTGTAATAATTGCAGAAAAAAAAATTGAAAAAAACCCCAAAAAAAAAAAAAAAATTAGTTGAGAGCTAGGGAGTTACATGAGATTGTTCATTCATCCATATTTACAAATAATTGGCAGTTACAGTGCAATAAATTCTTGTGGTTTGTAAAAATGCGAAAAGTTTGATAACACTCGAATATTGTCTATTGTGACGCAATATAAAATTCCTTGCATAATAATCTAATGCAAGCATCATTATCGACCTTTCGCTTTGAAAAACCCACTTCTTTTCTCTCTCTCTCTCTCTTCGCCACATCGTGAAATTTTTAGAATTCAATTTTATCGATTTCAATATTGAAAGTCAATTTTCAAATCTAGTTTTCTATTTTAAACTTTTGTATTGTATTTCACATTTTATTAAAATATTTGCATATTTGTTGCATCATTATAAACTGTTCATAAATATTTTTTTTGAAAATGACTTTGAATTTTGTTTCAAGTGCTTCATATTTCATTTTAGAATTTTTTCAACAAAACTATAATAACTTTCTATACTTGTAAAATAATAATTTTACTTAAACTAGTGCTTACATAAAATTTAACATCTTTTTCGTTTCTTAACTATAGTTACATAAAAATCGAGAAATTTTCATTTACAACATTTTTTCTTCACTTTTTCTCGAATAATTAGTGAAAAACTGCGCGATTATCGCAGAGAAGTGTATTTAGATTCAAATAACAGATTACTTATCTATTATCAAATGAATATTTACTTGAATCAATTAATTTTTATATTTAAGTCAATTAAATGGTATTTGCTTCAAGAAATTATTCGTTCAAATAATTATTCACTCTAATTTATTTAATTTAAATAAAAAAATTTAATGTAAATTAATTTTATTATTTTATTTAATTATAAATAAGTTCTTGAGAGATAAAATTTAATTTAAATTAACTTTATTTTATTCTTTTATTTAATTTTATTTAATTATAAAAAAGTTCTTGAGAGATAAAATGGTGGTTTGATCTCTCCACTTGAGAACGCCAAGGTCGTCACTAGGTGGCAGTAAAAATTCCAAGAAGGAACTGAACTGCCATCTAGTGGTGACCTTGGCGTTCGCAGGTGGAGACTAGCGTCTCCATATTGAATCTCAACATCTTCGTCAATATTCGTTATTCTACAATTATTTATAATCAAATTTAAAAAATTTGACAATTTTCAATTTGCAACAATTTTATCCAATTCTCTAATTATCTTAGAGTCTTAGAATTACTCTGGACGACTCATAAATTGAAATTGAGTTCAATTTAGAAAAAATTACTGGTTAAGAAGGAATTACTTTATTTAATTAAAAAAAAAATTACCAGTTAAGAAGGAATTACTTTATTTAATTAAAAAAAATTACCAGTTAAGAAGGAATTACTTTACTTAATTAAAAAAAAAATGCTTTTGAAAGCAATGATGTGAAATTTTTGCGTAAAAGTATTTTTATATAATAGAAAACATTGAAAAAATGAATATTTTTTTTTCACGTAGACAATATAAAAATGAAAGAAAACTGATGTCAATGGCGCCGTAAAAAATTGTGTAATTCCCAAGACAACGACCTTGAGGAAAATGTTGACTCCCGGAGACTGTATTCTAGACAAATCGATTATCTCCTGTTCTTATATATAGTAAATTATGTATATTTAGTTGCACATTCGTATAACGAACTCGAATGAATTTTTACTTCACATATTATATTATGTATATATGTATATCGTAATAGACAATTTCCACGTGTAAATAACGGGATCAAAGTCGTGCGATCATAATCTGGGACGAATGTGGCAAAAGAAGGTTATTACGGTAGTCAAAGTAGATTGTTTCAAGTAGATGAGGAACTCATTGGTCAGGCGATTGACTTTTACTTTCTCAACTGTCAGCTATTAATATTTGGCAAAATAAAAAAAAAATAAAAAAAAAAATATTTTTACATTCGCAATTTTTTATCATTATAAATATTCATTATTTTGTATTTGTTATTACCAAACTGTTAATTAATTTTTATTATTTATTTCATTTATTTATCATTATTTATTTATTACAGTATTTTTTATTCATTATTTATTATTAAATAACTATTAATTATTTATTATTAATTTTTACATAACTATTAATGATTTATTATTAATTTTTACTTAACTATTAACTCGACTATTAACTATTTACTCTTCACTATTAATTGCAATACAATTTCTGTTATTTTTGTTTTTCTCAAATTCAATTTAAAAAAAAAATAAAAAAGGAATTTTTAAAAAAAGCAATTTTAAAAATAATAGAATTTAAAAATTTTCTAATTTAAGTTTTTGTTGAAAACACTATAAAAATTCAATTTTTGAGAAATTATAAATAATTGCAGAAATTCAATTATTTTCAATAAAAATAAAATTCTTCTCATAAAATTCAATTATCTTTCAAATTTAAAAAAAAAATTTCGTCAAAATCCCAATTATCTTTATAAATAACAAAATTCTTTCCCAAAGTTCAATTATTTTCAAATAAATTTCAAATGCCCAAAAATACTACGCAAACATTTAATTATTTTCATAAATAATAAAAATTTCTCAAGAATTCAATTATTTACAAATTTTTTATAAATTCCTTTGCAATAATTCAATTATTTTTATAAATAATAAAATTTTTTCTAAAGGAATTCAATTAATTTCATAAATAATAAAAATTCCTCAGGAATTCAATTATTTACAAATTTTTTATAAATTCAATTATTTTTATAAATAATAAAATTTTTTTAAGGAATTCAATCATTTTCATAAAAAAATAATTAAAAATTGTAGAAAATAATAATTGATTTGAAATGATTTCCAAAGATTTTAATTTAAAACCTTTTCAAAATTCAATTTTATCTAAAATTTTAACTGAAATTCAAATTTTAAATTAATTTTTATTAGAAAATTCTACGCGAATTCAATTATTTAAATATCAAAAGAAAGAATTCATTGAATAATAGAAAGCTTTTTAAAATTCAATTCTCATAAAGAATTTTATCAAACAAATTTCTAAGTAATAAAAATCTTTTGGGCGAATTTTAATAGGTAATTGAAATTCTGCGATCAGTTTTTACTGTTTATGAAAATAATTGAATTCCTTAAAAGAATTTTATTATTTAGAAAAATAATTTGAATTCCTGTAAAAATATTATTATTTATCAAAATAATTAAATTAAATTTGCTAAGAAAATCCAAAAAATTGTAAATAATTGAATTTCTGTGACATTTTTATTATTTTATGAAAATAATTAAATATTTACATAGAATTTTATTAAAAAATTTTTATATAATTGAATTCATTTGGAAAATTTCATTAAAATAATACCTAGATATTAAAAATTATCGAATTGAAAAGAATTTTTCAAAATAATTGAAATTTTGCCAAGAATTTTTTTTAAATTTTTGAAAATAATTGAATTTTAGAGAAGAATTTTATTATTAATAAAAATAATTGAATTTTTGACGAAAATTTTTTAAAATATTTCAACATAATTGAATTTTT